GTTTGCAACTACTATAAATTTGTCTGGATATAAACGTCTAAAAATCTATAACAAATAGCACAATACTACTTTATTATAGTTCAACTAAAATTTATTGAACTAGAGTTCATTGAATGAACTCATTTAGGAAAAAACAAACAAAAAACGATTGGCTTATAATTTTTCTGAGTGCATAACACTTTGGCCTATAAATGCGTGACTGTTTTATTGTTTTTTTCTTTCGAAATTATTTTGGCAATCTGCATGCATGCCTAAAAGTATACACACATAACTTATAAAAAAACAAGTTCAAAAACCTTATATAACACAAAAATAATTTTTGCTTTCTTCCAGTGGTTTCTTATAAATTATTATTATTTTTTTTATAAATTGATTTTTTATCAAATATATAAATAAAAAGACAACTTTCTTATTTCTATAATAAATTTAATAACAGTTATCACCCCATAGCAGTAATAGTAAATGAACGAATGAATGCATAGTATATCATTTTCCTATTTGTTCGTTTATACATACACATACATATGTACCTACAACTCGTTTTATAAAGATTGTACATTGTAGTTTTTTATATAAATATTTAACTAATGGTTACGCAGTCATTGTAATTCCATTGTATAAGTATTTGAAAAGCAAATAGTTTTTCTTTTTTCTAGTTCTGTTATTTGTTCATTATTGCAATATGTACGTAAAAAATATGTATAGAAAAAATAACAGCACAAAAAAAACAAAGCAGCAAAAGTAAGGCACGCATACCCCAAAAATAAAAATACATAATAAAAAAAACAGTAGAATTAAATAAATGCGACCAAACGTCGTCCGACCATCTATTTTGTGACATGCCATGGTTGAGTGTATACAGCGCCAAAAATTCGTTAGAATAACGAAATGTGCTTAGAAGTACAAAAATCCCTGCATATCTCAGGGGGAGGAAATCAAATGAAAAATTGTTATTGCATATACATACGTACACACTTTAAGTATAACTCGCTCTTTTGTTGCTATTTTACAGTTACTTCTTTCCTTCTCTTTTACTCTCTATGATTCGTGTGTTTTTTGTTGTATCTTCCCCCTGTTTAGTGGTCTACCGTTATAAAGGGTTGCCATAGAAGTAAGAAAGTATTTGATAGGAAATGGGAGCTTATTCCCTTTGATTAATAAAATTAGAAATGTAAAGAATATGTACATATATGTATATGAAAATATGTATGGGAAAATGATCTTTTAAGGACACTTCGAACAGTTATGGACCAAAGTCGGTAGAATTCTAGAGAATGATTAGTTTCTAGTAACAAATCTCTTAATACTTTGATTTGTCTGTCCGACACTAATACTAACGTCGGATCTAATGAAACTGATTGAAGCAACACAAAGAAAAAGTAAGAAAATAGGTTGTGATTGCCAACTCTCATCATGTAGCTTGGGGTAGCACACACACCAATCGCAGGGGACGTGCCCTAATGGATTTCTTTAATACTGAAGACTTGATCACATTGAATACAGCTACTTTCGTCAATAGAATCATAAAAGAAGTATTAGATATAACTATATGTTCAGAAGAGCTTATAAACAAAATTTAGGATTGGAGAGATGCGAAAGAGCACTGCTTTTCAGGCCATCGGTACATAAGATTCAAAATACTACGGCCACCACCAAACCCGATTATAATTTTTTAATATATCTAAAACTAATTAGAGAATCCACGGGACATTACTAAAAAACCGTTAAGAACAGGACACTTTTCAATGTCGAAATAAAGAGAATGTAGACGCCAAAGTTGAAACGTTCACAAGTGCCCTGGTACAGTTGTCCGCACACGTATGGTAATAAACTTGGTGAATATAAGAAAATCTTTCGAATGGCCAAACGAGACTCCTGGAAACTTTTCCGTAAACAGGTAGATAGCGTAAATGAGATATCGAAGATAACAAATTTCTATCCAAAACTCTAGTCCAACCGGAATCTATGATTGATGACATGAGAAGGAGACCTAGAAACTCCTAATGGTCTTTCATTTCCCATTTACTGGGGCAAGGGGAGGCTACAATTGGCATAATCAGGAATGCAATTAAGAGTCTTGCACCATATGAGTCTGCAAAACCGGATGGTATTTTGTCCAGCACCTTTACAGATGGAAACGGAACAGATTTCGTTTCAACAGTCAAAAATATTCACGATATGCTTAAAATTTACATATACCCCAATTAAATGGCAGGATGCAAGAGAGATAATTATACCCAAACCCAGAAAACTTAGTTACACCAAAGACTTATAGACCGATAAACCATACGTCCTTCCTACTAACAACTGTGAAACTGATAGTCGATAGCAAAGTTAAAAGTATGTTTTCCTAACAAAGTCCTAAAATTAAACAGCATGCCTATGTAAAGGGACAATCAGTGGTTACCGCAGTAAACGAAGTTGTCGACTATATAGGTAAATCCTTCAATAGCAAACTATATACATTGGCAGTGTGTATTCACATCGAAAGTGCTTTCAATAACGTTGTAGTAGGTAGTTCGCGGTATACCACAGGGCGACATTTTGTCCCCTTTACTCTGGGTAACCACTAATGACCCTAACCGAGAAAGTATTTAGACCTCTCTGCTACGCAGACGATGTCAACATAATTCTAAGGGAAAAGGAAGGACTAGGAAAATAACTTGTTTAGAAAGGCTGAATAGGCTCTGAATACGGCCTTGAGCTAGGGTTAACCGAGAAGCCTCAATGTTAACCCAGCGAAGACTGAATCGTTCTTTTTAAAAGAAGATTTACTTAGGTGTAATCCTTGACAAGAATTTAAAAATTGAAACACCACAAAGAGGATAGAATCAACAAGGCACATCGGTACTAGGCGCTAAGTAGGAGAACCATAGGCTCGAAATGGGGCCTTAGTCCTGCTATGACACAATGACTTTATAAAAGTGTAATAATACTAATTCTAAGTTATGCTTCAATAATCAGGCGGACTTCTTTGGGCAAAAGGTGTAATATCAAACTATTACAGAGAGTTCAGCGACCATGCTGTGTGGGTGGAAATGATGCCCTAGAAATGTTACAAGATATTCCATACATTGAAATATATGTATAAGATATGAAGAGGAACATACAGCCGAATAGCTCTTAACTTTAGGCAAACTAGCCAAAGGCGGCCATAGGTCACGTCATCAATGTATACTGGACACATTAAAACATCGGATGTGCCCGATCTCTTACCGAACACAGAATATGTCGAGAACTTTGAAATACTGATCCCAGATAGAATATCATGGTCAAGCGGAATATTAGAGCAAATACCCGTAGGAATCTTGCATGGATGGCTCTAGATTGAAGTACAAAGTGGACCTGGAGTTCTATATTGAAGACCCAGAAACAGAAATATACTACCGTTTAATTAATCATAACACTAGCCTCAAGACAAAAGTTCGAGCAATAACGGAATGCGTAAATTAGATTAGAATAAATATGGCGCCAACATATTTACCGACAGCCAGAAGGCAATAAAGGTGATATAGTTAAATCTATGAACTTATTGGATTATAAGAAAGCCTTAATTCAATACTCTCTCCGAGGTATGCTTTGCATCATGTGAGTACCAAGCGAAAAGAGTGAATTAACTTGCTTTAATGGGAAGGGATCTCGAGGTAGTTAATCTGACGAACGCAAAACCATTCGACGCAATGAGGGCTGAATTAAAAATATGGGTGAGAATCCCTTAAGGCTTCTTGGAATAATGGTATGGTGCGTAGAACCAAAAAGATCCTTTGCGGTAACTCTAACGAGAGTTTTCTCCAAAATGAGCAAGTCTGAGATAAGAATGATGGTATGCATTTTGAGTGGACACACAGGATTACGGCCACAACTATACAAAATTAGACTGCGGTTTTAGAGGAATGTAGAGCATGTGGAGAAGACAGTGAAATTCTGGAGCACTTTCTTTGTCATTGTCAGGCTTTCGTCGAAATTAGATCCAAGTATCTTGGGTGTGATATTATTCGGAATAGAACGTCCCTTACGAACACAGATTGGTAAATTCTTAGGAATTACTTTCAGGAAACTGAATTTCTGAACATCGGACAATAATACCTTTATTGATCTCTATATAGGTTTTTGTTTTTACCAACAAACATTTCGCATGAAAAGGAACACACAACAGGCTTAGGGGTATTTCTTTGGATTTGATGTGTAGTATTCATCATCCTATCAACCTAATTTATAAACGGAATGATAAAATTTCGGTTTCTGGGTCTTCAATTTAGAACTCCAGGCCCACTTTGTACTCCAATTTAGAGCCATCCATGCAGGATTTCTACGGGTATTTGCTCTAATATTCCGCTTGACCAGGACCTCATCTTTTTATGTTGTCCCTCATCTTTTATGTTGAGAGTAAGAACTTGATGACTTGATGATTAATTCAAGGATGTCCTCCTTCACTTATTTCTATCGTAGCGACCACGCGGAGAATTAGGTGGTCGTAGGACCATTATTTTTAGATGTTGCAAACATCACAATAAACTCTTTATATCATTGTCACTATATTGATAATGGGAATATGCCTAAAATTACCTTGGGAAAGATACAAAACAAAAAAATGTCCAAGGAAAATTTTTACATGTTTTTACATTCATGTTTATCAATCATTTAAAAGACCTTGTTAATTTGATAGATTCCCTATATAATTGTTATATTTCCGTGTGTGGCAAAAGACTCTACAACATTTTTCTATTATAAACAAAACAACACAAAAAGATATTTCCTCAAAACTTTTAAGGACACAGACACAATGAAGCAAAATGGCAACACTACTCAACACTCAATGCGAAACTGTGTGAGACACACACGTATTCACAGTGAATGCAAAAGAGTAAATGGAGCGTATGAGCGACAGCAGAAAGAATACAACAAAAATGTTAAAAAAAGAAATGAGAATATAGAAAAAAGTTTTAAAAACAATGATGGTTTTAATGTTTAAAATTAAAATACTATAAATTATTACTTACATTCGAACTACAAAAAAAATCCTTTGAGGTAATTTTCTACTTGTGGATGTTGTTGTTGTTGGTGTTTTTGCTGCTGCTGTTGTTGTTATCGTTAGTTGTTGTTGCTGAACTATTTTTGAATTTTATAATTTATGGTAATTTTAGATAATTTTATAATGATAAGTGTCAACGACATTTGAGACACATTTTTTGAAGGCAGTTTAGCTTTTGTATGCTGATACCGAGAGAGAGATAGTGATAGAGAGAGAGTGAGAGAGAGAGGAAGAGTGAGAGTGTGTATGTGTAGTAGTAATTGTAGTTGCAATAGTATTAGTAACGGTAGTAGTAGTACAATTTCTCAATACATACAAACATACGAACGTTTGAACGAACGAAAGAACATATGAATATGTGCGCGTAAAGGTTGGCTGGGTTACTTGTTTCTTTAGTTAAATTGTTTGCTGGGTTAGTTTCTGTTATATCTATTAATGTATGACTGTTTGTTGGTTGTTATATATTTTAAATATGTATGTATGTTTGTATGTCTGTCTGTATGTGTGTATATATGAGTGTGTATTTGTTGTATATGTGTGTAGCAATGTTGCTGTATTTTTTCTCTGCTTTATTCTTTTTTTCTATATATTTTTTACACTTTTATCGATATGCTTTTAGGTTGCTGTTGTTGTTGTTGCTGCTGCTGCTGTTAATAATATTGTAGAATATTTTATTTTTCTTTTTTTTATTAATTTTTGCAATATTATTTTATTTATACACACATATTTTTTACAATATTTCATTAAATATTAATTTGTTTACTGAAGATTTTATTTCATTTATTAGATTTTTTTCATATTTTGTTATACATTTAATACTATAAATGCAATTTTTTTCTTATTCCTTTTTTATAGATATTTTTTTCTTTTTTGCTACTAACTACTTAATACATTTTTGTCTGCACTTGGAAAAATTTACATTTTAACTAAAAACCAGAAAGAACAAGAAAAGAAAAACTCAAATATTTTACCAGAAATTTAACACTTTTATTTAAACAAATTAAACACTTTTCCTAAAACCACTTGTCTTTTTCCACTTTTAACCATTTTTTTTAACTTTTTTCAAAATTTAGTATACTAAGCGTGAAAATTTCCTTCAACAAATTTTCCTTCTCCACCACCACCTCGTTTCCGTTCTATACATTTCTTTCCATATTCTTCTTCATCTATACATAGAAAAAAAAGCAAGTGTGCCAATATTCCCGTTATGGTGGGGCTACGTATATAAAACCTCATATGCTGGTGAAAATGGTTGAAAAAAAAAACCTAAAGAATTTTTATATATAGAAATTTTATTTTTCCAAAAATCACTCTGTTATTTATAGAATTTCTATAGTTTTTGTTGAAAAAAACTCTTCACTTTAGTTGCACTTAATAATTTTACAATATTTTCATTTAATTAATTTAATTTAACTAATATTTTTACACTTTTTTTTGCTCAGCTATACACATTTATATATATTTTTTTCAAATTGTATTTAGAAAAAATTCTTTTGGTTTAATGCGAAAAAACCCCGAAAAGTGGGTCATCTTCGGTCGTTCGGTTCGGTCTACTTGTATTCTTCATCTAAAACTTGGTTGCTTGCTCACATAGCAATCGATTTTTGCTGTATGTGTCCTGTGCTCGTTTTAACAGCTTTACTTAACAGTACCCGCTCAGCATGTTAGTACTTTTTCTTGTATTTAAGAGAGTTTTTATCGTACTCTTCGGTGCCAATTAACAGTTCCGTTTTCCGTTTTGTTTCAGTATATTTGCGAAAGTGTTGCATACTTTAAGGAGGGTTAAAGTATGATAGTATGAAGCAGGTATGGAAAATTCAGTACTTTGGTACTTTTTGCAGAACCTTTTCTAACTTAATAACTTCATAGACAGTTGTTTATGGTCTAGTCTATAGTCTAGTCTACAGTCTAGTCTATAGTCTGGTCTATAGTCTAGTCTATAGTCTAGTCTATAGTCTAGTCTATAGTCTAGTCTATAGTCTAGTCTATAGTCTAGTCTATAGTCTAGTCTATAGTCTAGTCTATAGTCTAGTCTATAGTCTAGTCTATAGTCTAGTCTATAGTCTAGTCTATAGTCTAGTCTATAGTCTAGTCTATAGTCTAGTCTATAGTCTAGTCTATAGTCTAGTCTATAGTCCTAGTCTATAGTCTAGTCTATAGTCTAGTCTATAGTCTATAGTCTAGTCTAGTCTATAGTCTAGTCTATAGTCTAGTCTATATCTAGTCTATAGTCTAGTCTATAGTCTAGTCTATAGTCTAGTCTATAGTCTAGTCTATAGTCTAGTCTATAGTCTAGTCTATAGTCTAGTCTATAGTCTAGTCTATAGTCTAGTCTATAGTCTAGTCTATAGTCTAGTCTATAGTCCTATAGTCTAGTCTATAGTCTAGTCTATAGTCTAGTCTAGTCTAGTCTATAGTCTAGTAGTCTAGTCTATAGTCTAGTCTATAGTCTAGTCTATAGTCTAGTCTATAGTCTAGTCTATAGTCTAGTCTATAGTCTATCTATAGTCTAGTCTATAGTCTAGTCTATAGTCTAGTCTATAGTCTAGTCTATAGTCTAGTCTATAGTCTAGTCTATAGTCTAGTCTATAGTCTAGTTATAGTCTAGTCTATAGTCTAGTCTATAGTCTTAGTCTATAGTCTATAGTCTAGTCTATAGTCTAGTCTATAGTCTAGTCTATAGTCTAGTCTATAGTCTAGTCTATAGTCTAGTCTATAGTCTAGTCTATAGTCTAGTCTATAGTCTATTCTATAGTCTAGTCTATAGTCTAGTCTATAGTCTAGTCTATAGTCTAGTCTATAGTCTAGTCTATAGTCTAGTCTATAGTCTAGTCTATAGTCTAGTCTATAGTCTAGTCTATAGTCTAGTCTATAGTCTAGTCTATAGTCTAGTCTATAGTCTAGTCTATAGTCTAGTCTATAGTCTAGTCTATAGTCTAGTCTATAGTCTAGTCTATAGTCTAGTCTATAGTCTAGTCTATAGTCTAGTCTATAGTCTAGTCTATAGTCTAGTCTATAGTCTAGTCTATAGTCTAGTCTATAGTCTAGTCTATAGTCTAGTCTATAGTCTAGTCTATAGTCTAGTCTATAGTCTAGTATATAGTCTAGTCTATAGTCTAGTCTATAGTCTAGTCTATAGTCTAGTCTATAGTCTAGTCTATAGTCTAGTCTATAGTCTAGTCTATAGTCTAGTCTATAGTAGTCATAGTCTAGTCTATAGTCTAGTCTATAGTCTAGTCTATAGTCTAGTCTATAGTCTAGTCCTATAGTCCTAGTCTATAGTCTAGTCTATAGTCTAGTCTATAGTCTAGTCTATAGTCCAGTCTATAGTCTAGTCTATAGTCTAGTCTATAGTCTAGTCTATAGTCTAGTCTATAGTCTAGTCTAGTTCTAGTCTATCGTCTAGTCTATAGTCTAGTCTATAGTCTAGTCTATAGTCTAGTCTATAGTCTAGTCTATAGTCTAGTCTATAGTCTAGTCTATAGTCTAGTCTATAGTCTAATCTATAGTCTAGTCTATAGTCTAGTCTATAGACTAGTCTATAGTCTAGTCTATAGTCTCAGTCTATAGTCTAGTCTATAGTCTAGTCTATAGACTAGTCTATAGTCTAGTCTATAGTCTAGTCTATAGTCTAGTCTATAGTCTATAGTCTAGTTATAGTCTAGTCTTAGTCTATAGTCTAGTCTATAGTCTAGTCTAGTCTATAGTCTAGTCTATAGTCTAGTCTATAGTCTAGTCTATAGTCTAGTCTATAGTCTAGTCCATAGTCTAGTCTATAGTCTAGTCTATAGTCTAGTCTATAGTCTAGTCTATAGTCTACAAAGTGTTGCACAAATTATGCGTTTCTTGCAAATAAGTTTCAGATCTTGGTCTATCGGGAGCAAATAGTGGATCGTAACTCACATCTTGTGTTGTTCGTGAGACTAGATTACAGGTCGAGCACTACATATTCTTGATTACCAACGTTGTCAACTTAGTGCTTTTAGCACTGTTTTTAGTGGTTTTAAAAATTTAGACGCGGAAAAATTTCGAGTTAGTGCTTAGTGTTTTTTCAATAACTTCGGTGGCACTAAATTTAGTATCGAAACAGTAACATTTACATATAAATTTTGTTTTTTTTTTTTTTAATTATGAAATATTTTAAAAATCATAATTTTTTGAGGTAATTTTAATTTATTTTTCTATACATTTTTTATAAATTGTTAAAAATATTGCGAATTCCATGATTTTACAATTATCGGTACCATGTATGTATGTTAGATGAAAACGTTTTTCTGTACCAATTTCTATCACTTAAGTAAAGTCTTATAATTAGCAGACTGATAATTAACATAAAAATTTGAGAATTAAGGACAGAAGGAACAATTGCATTGGGGATAGGTTAAAAAATTTACGGATTTCCAACATTTTCAATAGGATTAATTAAATTATCTTGAACATTTCGACCTTTTGTTTGATTACAAAGTTTAGAAACATCAGCACAAACTCAGTACAGGTATAGGGCACAGTGAATTAAGAACTCTTTAAGAGAGTTCTTGAATTAAGTAATTATTATTTGAAAACATACTTCAAAACAAGTGAGAGTGTTATATTCGGTTGTGCCGAATCTCATATACCCGCCATCAAACGGTATGCCATAAAAGAAGTGCTGCTCTATAAACATCTGGGTGATATTACTCATCAAATTAACTGAAGAGGGATTTATATGAGAGATAGTGTTAATTATTGATCGTTTTTTATAAAATTGTTCATATTTTTTTTTGGTTCATATAAAACATCTATACATCTACAAAAATTTGGTAGGAAGATTTACATTCCTATCTTTCTATGTTTCCTCTATTAAATTTCATAATTGCTCACGTATTTTTAAGTCAGCAATGATCGATTTTTCTTATGGACCGATCCTCAATAAATTTAACTCGTATAAAACATACAATTTGATTAAGTGATTTTGGTTCGCAAGGAACTTACTTGGGTCAAATTTCTTCGCTTTACTCGTAATTTTAAGCAAGTAATTATCATTAAAGACATTTTAGAAGGGGACCTTATATGTGGGGTAGGGTACTATACTCGTATTTTAAGCCAATAATGAGCGTTAAAGTCATTTTCTGAACCTTATATGGGGGGGGGGGGCGGTAGGGTCAATTATGGACCGATCCTCATAAAATTTGGTAGCGAGATTTAGGATCATATGAAACTTATTTGTGTTGAATTTCATCGCTATACTCGTACTTTTAAAACAGATATGCCCGTTAAAACTATTTTTCGGTGGTCCACTTGTATGATGACTATCAGAAAACACGGACCGATATTTCCCATTTTCAATACCAAACAAACCTTACATATAGAGAATATTTGTGGAAAAATTTTATCCTCTAGCTCATTCCGTTCGGACTCTATCGTGCTTTCAACAGACAGACGGACAGACATGGCTAGATCGTCTTAGAATTTAATAAGGACTCTGAATGTATATACTTTTATGGGTCTATAACCAATATTTCGATGAGTTACAAACGGAATGACATCCCATATTTTTGGATGGTGGGTATAAAAAACGTTATCGAACAAAAGATAATTGATACATTCATAAATGATTTTTCGAATTTTAATCCCTATACGAAAATATCGCCAAATTTTTTAAACATATTTGTTATTTTTATAGCTGACACTTTTTCTTCCTTAACGTTGTTGTATTCGATATGTTAATTTCCTTTCGATATGTTAATTTCCCTTTCCTCTTTACCGTCTTACTACTTTTTTCACCTTAAATCTACTAGATTTTGAACAAATTAGAATTTTAAGTATATATATATATATATATATATAATATATAAATATAAATATCCGTTTATTTCTTCAATTTGGTGCTTTTTGAATTTTTAATGTTGACAACGCTGTTGATTGCAGACTTACTATGAGATGAAATGGAATATATAAACTTGGATAATTTTTGGTTTCAGCAGGAATGCGCACTCTCGTACACAGCTTATCAAACTATCGATAGTCCGGTAATCGCGTTATCCGATTTTGCTATGTTATTTGATCGCCTCGATACTGTGACTCAATTCATTCTAATAAGCCAGAAACCGTTAAAGTTTAATATTGTCCATGTAAGATGGAACCATAAACAAAGTCTTGAAAAATTGGACTTACCAGCTGAGGCACCCACGTGAATGAAGTTCCACAAAGAGAATATTTTTTTCTTTCAAATATGCAATTTAACCACTCTTTATTTCTCTAAATTGTAGCTATTATCAAGTTCCAGTTAAATTCTACATTTTTATGCAAAATGTATATTTCCGAGACCAATATGCCCATTGTCTATTCTCGTAGATGATAATTGCAGATTGTGCACAGTAAAGGAGTTATGTTTTCATCCGATCACATCATCAACATTTTGTCTTATCACTATAATTGTACTTGTTATCTTCATAGGAAATATACCCCACTCTTTGCGGAATTGCTGGGAGTTTAGATACAAGAACTCTGTTTTTGACCCTTTGGAATTTTGAGTATTTCTTATCAAAACTTTAAGAATAACTGGCAGTCCATTATATAATTCAGGGCCCATCTTTATGCGTCATTATAATCTTGGAAGAATTTGGACAGTCGTCCATTCTTTAGCACCCTGTTAGGTATGTCTTGCTATATCTTGGTTTAATTTTGAGGAATTCATGTTGGATTCCTTCTCTGTCATCGTTCTCTGCTTTAAGTATGTGGATTAAGTGCTCTAGTCATTTTCTAGTCTCTTGTAATTTTGGACACGTTTAACAATGCGTGGTATTAGACTCCGTCCTCCGTCCAAAATGTTGTGTAATCTTGACGTCGGTTATTTGCTAGTTTTGCGTTTTTGATGACCTCGGCTACTTCCGCTATAATATATGATGTATGCGGGACTGCAATTTTGTGAAGTTTGCGAACAACTTTTTGTCTCGTCTTAACTTTTTTCCGTAAGCTCAATGAAAAGCTTGTAATCCTTCTCCCTCAGATTAGAAAGAGATCGAACTAAAGACCGCAACTTTTAAACTCCCAAAAAGTCTCGGAATGGTATAAGCATTTCGAATGAATATAGGAATTATGTAAGAGGCTGCTATTTTGAGGACCTTTCTCTTTATCTGGTGTTCGTTAAGAAGTTATTGGAAGGTAACTGAAAGTGCGATCTGAAGCCGAGTCAGTTTTTTTTGTGTATAAACGGCGTTTAGATATGATAAAATCGTTTGATCATTCTACACAAACATTGCTTAGTTGATCGGAACCGGTTGTTGTGATATCTAATAATATGCCTTCTTTGTATTTCCTTAAGAGCGGCAAGAATATTGATGGCCTTTCAGAACTGGTAATGTTATGCTAATGATTGCAAAAGAGATCGAATATAAATTCTAGTTCTTCAAGTATTGTAAGAATCTCTTCCGCTTATACTCATTTACCAATCTGTTGATATCCTTGGATACTTGGAGTTTCGAGGGCCTTTCCCCTTGTCTGTTGTTAGTTAAAAGGGTATTGGTAGGTAAATGAAAATGTGATCTGAAGCCGTTATAGATGATAAAATTGTTTGATCGTTCTAGACAAACATTATCCAGTTGATCGAAACCGGTAGTTGTGATATCTTGTGGAGAATCGTCATCAAGAAGGTGAGTTTGTTCTGCCAATAAGATGCCTCCTTTATATTGCCTTAAACAGCAGCGACAGGTCTAATGATGGCCTTTCAATTCCCTTAAGATTCAGACTCATATACCCGGTTGAAGAACTGCTAATGATTGGAAAGAGACCAATCATTAGCAGTTCTCTTCCATTTATATCTCATTTACTAATCTGTTGATATCCTTGGACCTTTCCCTTTGTCTGGTATTCGTTGAAAGGGTATTGGTAGGTAACTAATTGCGTGATCTGAAGCCGTTATAGATGATAAAATCGTTTGATCGTTCTAGACAAACATTGTATTGTTGATCGAAACCGGTAGCTGTGATATCTTGTGGAGAATCGTCATCAAAAAGGTGAGTTTGTTCTGCCAATCAAATGCCTCCTTTATATTGCCATAAACAAGATCGAAAGGTCTAATGATGGCTTTTCAATTCCCTTAAGCTTCAGACACATATACCAGGTTAAAGGACTGTTAATGTCTTAAGGATAGCCTGTTGGACAACTGGTTGCTGGCGGTATATACACCTTATGAAGCTCTAATTCAATTTCTTCTAATCTGACCACATTGCCTTGAATGTATTCGTCTTTAGTATTGAAATCGAAGGAGACCAGGGCTTGCTGCTGCAACGTTTCGGGCATACTCTGGGGGATTTAGTTCTATTCATGCATTAACTAATAGCATATGAAGTAGGAACGCCTGATCGGATTTGCAAGAGATTTATTCTAACAAAATTGTTTTATAAAGTGAAATAGCACGTCTATCGGTCTTCTGCCCGTTCATTTTGTTACGGTTTCGAAGCCAATTTCTAACCTAATAATTTAAAACTCCCCTCTAAATTTTTGCATTTAAAACACTTGAATATTTTAAGTTAAAATGGATTATAAATACATTTATTTGTCATAAGTATATTAGTATCATTATACTACATGTTTCCTTTTTACTTTCTCTCGTTTTTAGATTTTTCGAAACATAAAATTAAAATAATGGAAATATATATTTTGTATTTCATTACTATTTTATAATAATTATTAATTGAATTGATTTCAGTTTGTCATTTAATACAATAAAATTAGTGTTTATTTTTTTGTTTTTAATGCTGTTTTGTTACAATTTTGGGAATTCTTGTTTTATTAATTATTAATTTTTGAATTTAAGAGTTTTCTTTAGTTTTCTACTTCATTATATCAAGTAAAATTATTTAATTGAAATAAACAAACAAATGTATGAACGAACGAGCAACAAAATTTAAGACAATAATTAAATATTTACATATTTTTCATGTTTTTTGTTTTGTTTTTTTTTTTTTTTCGTTTTTATAAATAAATTGTAATATATATTGGTTTTTGTTAGTAATAATACTAAAAACTACATAAAAAATTGTTAAATAACTTTTAAATAATTTGTTTTTGTTTAACTTTTCTTTTAAATTTATTGTTTTTTTATAGTGAGAAAATAAAAAATAAATAGTTTTTTCTTTTATATTTTTGTATTTGTAAATAAGTTTTTTTCTGTAGTTTTTGTTTATTTTTTATTGGTTTCAATTTAAATTTGTATTTGTTTGTTTTTCTTTGTATTTGTGTTGGTTTTTTTTGTTTAAATAAATGTTTTTTGCTACTCTCTCTTGCTTATGTTATTTTTTAGCTTTTTCTTTTACAAAGTTCTTAAGGATTTTTTTATTTTGTTTGTGTTTTCATTTTATTTTATTATTTTCTTCTATTTAATAAAATTATATATATTTCATCATAATTGTATTTAATTAAAATTTTTAATTTAAAAGAAAAAGAAGTTTATAATAAAATAAAAAATGCCTCTAATTTTAAGCACTTAAATTTTCTACTCGCATTTACTTTTTACCGTCAGCATAATTTGATTGGTTTGTCGTATTAAATACAGGGCACTTATAAATACTGCATTGGGCCTGGGAAGAGAGAGAAGAAAATTAAAAAAGAATATTCTATTAAAACTGTTATTTAAACACTTTTTATAAAGAGCTTTTTTCGAAATTTGTTTCTAATTTTCGATAATAAGAATCGTGTACAAAGCAACTTCCTAAAGTGACAAAATAATGACAGCAACTCTTTCTTTTGTAGACTTGGATCCATTTGTATTGATCACGAATGAGTCTTTCTCACATTCGTTGCAAATATAAGCCGTCGAAGTGATTTACATGAACACCTGGCTTTCGGCTTTTTCAACAACAGAGTTCCCTGGAAACGACCCACTACCCTTGTGGAACCAATTCTGTTTATAGCCACACAAATTAAATGGCCACTGTTTATTTGGCAACTCCATCAAGAGATAGACAGAAATATTAAACCATCAAATAAGCCAAAGAATAGGTCATAATCGTAGAGAACACACTGTTGTAAGTCAGGTATGAACAGAGCAATTCCTATATAAACAAAAAAAAGGGGACAATTGTTTGACCATATGGTCCACAGGCAACCAATATTAGAGACACCTGTTTATGTTTATAAGTCACAAAAATAATATCAATTATACTCCCTGGACTTCTTGGACTTCAAAAAGAGTAAACAATCTTCTGATATGTATAAACATTAATTTATTTTGAGAAAACTAAACTACCCTTATGACTCACTTTAAAGGAATGTTTATATAGAAAAAAAACATTAAAAATAATAACCAAAACAAACTAGATAAGATAATGATAACAATGGCTCATATTAGTTTATTCTCACGCTATGTGTTTTAAAGATAAACCATATGTATTTGTATTTTCTATTATTAAGAAAATAATCAAATTAGTCTTCATTATAGCAGATATAGATTTTATAGACTTTGTTTTAATAGCAATATCTAGATTTTCCTCCTTAGTTTAAAGCAATAAAGATAATATGTTTTTGAAATTTTTACTTACTGTCCTTCTTTGAAGTATTCCTTTAGTGTTGTACTAAACTTTTTCGAATATTTAACAAATTCCTTTTTGCGCTGCTCCACAGCCTGTTTGCCAGTGACGCCGGGTATGAAATTACCAATTTCATTTACAACATCCAATAGTTTTTTAATAGCGCTGGCAATTTCTCTGTAAATGAAGAAAATAAATTTGTTATAAGTAAAGTACAATGTTATAATAAAGAAAAGTTTGGGTTTAATTTAAATGTAATCCTCTATCTATCTATCTATCTATCTATCTATCTATCTATCTATCTATCTATCTATCTATCTATCTAGGTATAACATGAACATTTCCTTAGACAATTTCATGCGTCAGCATAAGACTTTTCTATATTATTAGGTCATTTTAGAGAATTTTCGGTTCTAAAAGAATAATTGGAAGATATATTTGCAAAGATTACATATATAATTTTGTTATTGTAATAAATATAATAAAATATTGTGAATATTTGTTTGATATTGTCTCTATAAATGGCCTTGACTTTAAAACCCTCATTAACTCTGCAGGATTAACTGGACTTTAATTGACTGATTGATCACTTCTGTAAAACTTACTTGATAGTTTCCAAAAATGTTTTACGATCTTGAATTTCATCAGGAATACGACTTAAAATAACTTTGAGAGCCACTGATTTGCGATTCAATTCTTGGAATGGTTCTTCGGTACGGGTTAGACGATATTCATTTACTAAAACCGGAAAAAAAACATACCTATTAAATTAATAACAATTCACTAACAAAACATAACAAAGCCATTAAAACTTACAATCTGATTCTGGTAAATTTCCTTGTAATCTTAAAACGGATTCATTTAGATTGACATTCAGTTCAGCTCTACGTGTAATGGCCATGATAAGATCATAACAAAATCCTGGATTATTTTGTTCTGTTTTTAAGATAGCCGAACGCAGCGATTGAGCAGCTCCCACATCTCGTCGCTCCAACTGTGAGGAGAAATCAAAAACATTTCAAATTTTCAATTAATTACCATTTTTGTACATGACCTATTTTTTCTGGAAATTCTTTAACACTTCACTACTTTTACATTGCTTTACTTAATCAGTAATTGATTGTCATACTATGTTCTTACTCTGTACGTTGTGACTTTACCTGTGCAAATATGGGTCTCAATATTACGGGCAAGACAAGTGACGGTGTTGGCATCTCACCCATGGTCATTTTACATTTACTTTAACTTGTTGTCTAATGAAAAATATTTTTTTTATTGTTTCTTTAATAAATTCCCACACAGAGTATAATAAAACAATTGGTTTTTTGTTTTTTTATCTGTAATAATGTTGGCTTTTCGTAATATGCTTTGAATAGAATAAAAAATAATAATTAATTAAGAAAATTTCAACACGGAAGAACCAATGGGAAAGAAAAAATATTCACACAAAAATAAAACCTTACAAAAATACCAACAATGCAATGTAGGCACAGTGTTGCCACAGCTTTAAAATTTTTATAACCAAATTTCTTTAAAAAAATTACCAGAACTAAAAAGAAGTTACCATTCTATTTGTAACAGATCGAAATATTGGTCTTAGAGCTACAAATGTTTATATGTGTGTGCTGAATCCTTATTACAATCTACCAAAGTCAGTCCGTATTATTGCCTATATATAAATTGGAATAAACAAGTGTTATAAAAACAATAAAATTTTTATCATGTTTTTTGAGGATGGGTCCATAATTCAACTAAGATAAATGAAATTCACATCTACACATTGGTAAATAACCAATTTGGGTTAAAACTAAGCAAAATGGCAACACTGAATGTAGTTCAAGAAAAAAATAAGAAGAGAGAAACAGAAGGTGAAAGCAAAAACATTAATGACATTTGAAAATGTCAAATAGCAATTGAGAAAAACTATGTTTAGTAAACATTAGAGATGGTAAAATAAAATAACAATCGAAAAATTTTAGAAATCTAGATAGATTTGTAGAGTTTGGTTGCGGTATTAAAACGGTAACGGTATTTTCGCTTACTTCGGATATTTTAAAGGTAATAAAGATCTAACAAAATAGTGTTCGGAATCAAAATTTTGTAAATAAAAACCATTCAATAATCGACTTCTACATAATAGTCGACTTGTCATCAAAATTTAGCAAACAAGTCCAAAGCCGTGATATAAATTTATTTTCTTTATCATAAAAAAATACATTTCAGAATGGAAAAGATAAAGAGTTTTATCTTTCTCAAAAATTACTTTGAACTCTATTATTTTGGATAATTTGCTGTTGCAAAACAAGTTTTGTTTCTAATTTGGACATACTAAACTCATATCCGTTAAAATATTTAAAATCGGCATAATGTTTATCGAGATACCATCCATTATGTTTTTTATTTTTTTTTATCTTTTTTATTTATAGCAAGATTTACTTTTCTGAAGGATTGGGCTGCGCTCAATCCGAATCTGGCCTTAGAACTTATTCATCACATCAATATATCAAGCCCTTAAAATCGAAAATCCGATTTCGAAATGTTTTACAGTTTAAACATTTGTTGTGTCATCCATAAGTCCAATCTGTCGACTTTCAAATAAAAGTTTAGCCTCTGTTATATTTTCTTTCTTCTCCGAGTTATTTTAACTTTAGTTACTATATTCGTATCAATACTGTGTTTTATACATTATTCGAAATGTATGTCGACGCCTCCAAACAAAAACATTCTAAGTCAAAAAAGTGAGTTTTCAGTTTTAAGCTTTCATAGTATAAAATTTATTTTCCTCAAAACTTTTGAACTGATCTACAAATCTGAACCATATGTTAACATACATATTATCGTCATCGTCGATATACATGTTACATGTACAAATTTGATTGACCCTTTATGCGACAATATAAAAAATATTATTTTCTAATAACAAATTATTAACAAAATCACTATTTTTTATAGCAAATTTATAGCACAATGTTTAACCCGATATACATACATATATAGTATTTAATACCAAAAATCAATCTTTTTCTAACCCGTTAAATACGTAATAGAACTCAAAAACATAAATCATGTTTGATTTTAACAATAAATTTGTTAAAAATAAAATAAATTTATTTACATTTAAATTCTTGGCATGTTTTGGTAAACATTTACATCCAAATGTCAAGGTGTAAAATTGACACGAGCTGTCAAATCATATGTCTACAATAGATGTCAAACAAGAGAAAAATAGAAGAGAAGAAAAAATAGCGGCGAAAAGTAGAATTTTTGCATATTCGCAAAAAAAGAAAAAAATTCTTTTTCTTTATAATTTTTTGCAAACTTTTTAGAATTTTAACAAAATTTTTATTGTTGTAAAATAAATATAAACAAAAAGAGCAACAAACTTTAAACAAAAAGAACTTAGAAAAACAAGTATTTGTGCAAGAAAAAGGCTAAAAATTAAATGTCATCTTTAGCGAAAAAAACATAAAAATTTTGCAAAGTTTAAATTTAATTAAAAAAACAAACCATTCGACACAACAAGTAAATAAATGAATAATAATTAATAAAAAGTGTAAAATAAAATTATACTTGAGAAAAAATGCTAAAGGTAAGTAGCGAGCAGTTTATTGTTTAATTAAAAACCTTGAAAAAATCTTCATTTTTTTGAAATCTCTTTTGTTGTTGATTTTCCTACTTTTTATTACATTGTGTGCCCTGTTGGCGTTTAGGGTAAAGGACAACGATCCTTTGAGGAAGTATGGCCGGATATGCGTATTATTGTTCTGAAATTGCTGAAGCAGGAAACAGTATCACAAGTTGAGTGGCAGGATTTATTTTATGGCGTCCATTTGGTGTGTTTGTGGGATGAAAAGGGAGCTGCCAAAATCTACGATTGTCTGCGCAATGATGTGGTGGAGTTTATAGCCCATGCCCAGCGCAAAGTGCAGTCACAACGCGGAGAACATGCTTTGCTTACGACCTACATAATAGAATGGCGCAAGTTTTTTACACAATCCAGTTACCTGCCTTTGCCTTTTCGCCAATTGGAGCATTGGTTTCAATTGAAACAACCCTCCTCCAGCTGTTCATCAACTTCCGCCTCAAGTTCCTCGGCAGCAGCTGCCTCGACATCCTCGGCTGCCGCTGGCACCTCATCGTCGTCTTCAGCTAATAACAATAATAATAACAACAACAATAACAAAAAGAATCCCACCGAAGACAGTATTGTTCGGAAACTAATGTTGGATTCTTGGAATGAGCACATTTTCAAAGACATCAAAGATCGTCTACAAGAATCGGCTATGAAAATTGTACACGCCGAGCGCAACGGTGATGCCTACGATGCCCAGCTGGTGATTGGTGTTAGGGAAAGCTATGTTAATCTCTGTTCGAATCCCGAAGATAAACTACAAATATATAGAGAAAATTTTGAGGCAGCTTATTTAAAAGCCACTACTTCATTTTATCGCCTTAAGGCTACAGAACAGCAACAAGCGAATGGCGTCTTGGCCTTTATGAAATATGCCGATTCCAAATTAAAAGAGGAAGAATCAAGGGCTAAACGTTATTTGGAACCCAGCAGCTATGCCATATTGGCACAAACTTGTGTTAAGGTTTTGGTGGGCGATCACATGAACACCATTATAGCCGAATGTGCACCGCTCATTAAAGAATACGAAACAGATCGTTTGAATCTAATGTTTCGTCTTTTGGATCGTGTACCCAATGGGGTGGATACTATGTTACGTGATTTGGAAAATCATATTGTTTCAGCTGGCCTAGCCGATATGTTGTCCGCCTCTGAAATCATCACTCAAGACTCGGAAAAATATGTAGAACGTCTACTCGAACTATTTACCAAGTTTAGTACTCTGGTTAAGAATGCATTCAACGATGATCCTCGTTTCCTAACGGCTCGCGATAAGGCATTTAAAACGGTTGTTAATGATACTAGTGTTTTCAAATTGGAATTGCCAACGGGTATACAGAATCGTGGTGTTAAATATACAGCTCCTGAGAGTAAATGTCCTGAACTATTGGCCAATTATTGTGACATGTTGTTGCGTCGTACACCGTTGAGTAAACGCTTGACTAGCGAACAAATCGATGCACGTTTAAGGGATGTCCTGTTGGTGCTAAAATATGTTAATAACAAGGATGTATTTATGCGTTATCATAAAGTTCATTTAACGAGAAGGTAAGTTGTACAGGTGGGATTTTATTTATTCTATTTCTAAAGAAGAATGGTCTTCTCAATAAGAACCACCTTTATTTTCTATAGAAATCATTGGAAATTTTGAATTACGATCGTTATATTTTCTAAGCAATACTTCAGTTTATTCCCTCTCCTATATTTAAAGGCATATAAGAGGGAACAAGAGATAGATAGATAGATAGATAGATAGATAGATAGATAGATAGATAGATAGATAGATAGATAGATAGATAGATAGATAGATAGATAGATAGATAGATAGATAGATAGATAGATAGATAGATAGATAGATAGATAGATAGATAGATAGATAGATAGATAGCTAGATAGATAGATAGATAGATAGATAGATAGATAGATAGATAGATTAGATAGATAGATAGATAGATAGATAGATAGATAGATAGATAGATAGATAGATAGATAATAGATAGATAGATAGATAGATAGATAGATAATAGATAGATAGATAGATAGATAGATAGATAGATAGATAGATAGATAGATAGATAGATAGATAGATAGATAGATAGATAGATAGATGTTAGATAGATAGACTAGATAGATACATAGATAGATAGATAGATAGATAGATGATAGATAGATAGATATATAGTAGAATAGATAGCTTAGAAGATACTAGATAGTATAGATTAGGATAGCATTTTCTGATAGATGATGCTAGTCTCGATAGATAGCTTGATAGATGATATATAGATATTTTTAAGCTTGCTAGTTTCGATCTCATATTGGGTCTTGCTGGACTTTACGACTTTCTGAACCTTCGAAAACATTTATGATAATTAAATTTTATTAATCTTGCATTTAGACTAATATTGGGTACTAGTGCTGACAGCGAAAAGGGAAGAAGATATCGTTGAATGGCTACGTGAAGTTGGCATGCCCGCCGATTCTGTCAATCGTTTAGCTCGCATGTTCCAAGACATAAAAGTAAGTTTAAAGGCTCCTACTTCCTTTGACACCTAAATAATGAATTACAATTTCACCAAAATTAGGTCAGTGAAGATTTAAATACTCAATTTCGCAATTCGACTGGACGTCACGATGCCATTAATATTAAAATTCTAAATGCCGGTGCATGGGCGCGCTGTTCGGAACGTGTTTCGGTTAGTTTGCCTCTGGAACTGGAAGACTATATACCCGATGTGGAAGAATTCTATAAGAAAAAACATTCCGGCCGTAAACTTCAGTGGTATCATCACATGAGTAATGGCACAATAACATTTGTTAATAATTTTGGTCGCTATGATCTCGATGTCACAACATTTCAAATGGCAGTACTATTCGCTTGGAATCAAAGGCCTCAAGATAAAATATCATATGAAAATTTACGTTTAGCAACTGAATTGCCAGGTAAAATCTATAAGATTTCTAATAGATAAACTAATTTTGAAAATTAATTATTTATATTTAAAGATCCCGAATTAAGACGTACTTTGTGGTCTTTGGTACAATTTCCTAAATTGAAAAAACAAATTCTATTAATGGAGCCCAATTGTCCAACACCAAAAGATTTTGCTGAGAATACATTATTTTATGTAAATCAAGAATTTGCAGTGGTTAAAAATAATAAATCACAACGCAGAGGAAAGGTAGATAGAAGCAACTATTTTTTTTTTTTTTAATAATTAGTTAAAGCTTATTTTCTTATTCGTTTTCGGTTTACAGCTTAATCTAATTGGTCGCTTACAATTAAGTACTGAACGTTCAATACAAGAAGACAATCAATCTATAGTTCAGTTGCGTATACTGCGTGTCCAAGAGGCCATTATAAAAATAATGAAAATGCGTAAACGTATGAATAATGCAACATTACAGGTAAATAACTTTAAAAATTTTGCACAAACATTATTTTTAATATTAATAAATTACTTTATGATGTTTTCTTTCTTCCCAAAAAGGCCGAATTAATTGATATTTTGAAAAACATGTTTTTACCGTCGAAAAAAATGATTAAAGAACAATTAGAGTGGCTGATCGAACATAAGTATATGCGTCGTGATGATGACGATATCAATACTTTTATATACATGGCTTAAGTATAATTTATTCTAAAATTTCTTACTACGTTTATTTTTTACATATTTATATACATATTGCATACATCTACATAATGAGAGAGAATCTTAATTAAGAATGCTCGGGTTATTACTTTTAACTTTTCTTTTAATTTAACATTAGGTTTACAGTTTACTTTTTAATTTACTTTAAACACTTACACTCAAATGAGAAAAACAAATATCATTAGAAGAACAGCAATAGCAGCAACATAAATTACAGGGAAGGAATATTAAAAACAAAAACAAGAGTATAAAATTCAAAACAAAAATTTAAACTAATTAAATAATGAATAACTTTATATAGTATAATAATAACATAAATGTATAAAAGGGAAGGTTTTTAGTCTTGTTTCAAAAAAAAAAGAAAATCATCTTAAAAAGTGAAAATAACATTAAACATCAAGACTAAAATAAAAGTTGTGAATAAATATAATTATTCCATAAACATTAATTTAATTACAAATTTTAAATTGAACATTTATTTACTACTTCCATACAATACCACCACAAGATTTTATACTATAATTTAATATCCTTCCTGCTTAAATACAACTCGTTATTATCCTCCCTTTAACTCGCAAAAAAAAAACACACAAAACGATTCTAAAGTTATTATTGTATTTCTATTTACCCACTCCACAAATAATCAGTTCATAATTTAAGTATCGTTAGTATATAGTTATCAGATTTTGCCCATTATTTTTTTTATTATAAAACTACTTATTAGGTTTATATTTTCTATAAAATAATTTGTTTTATTTTTAATATTGTATGTTGTTTTTTTCTTCAATTAGTTTTTTTTTCTATTTCTTAAGAACATATTCCTATTTTTTTTTTATTTTTTATAAATTTTAAGTGTTTGTGTATTTAAATTGTAAATTATATATATTTTTTTAATATCTTCCTTCTTTTAACTTTAACTTTTTTTATTCTACTTCTGCTCCAACTATGGTTGCTTATTTTTTAATTTCGAGAAAAAATTCACAATTTAATTGTAATTTTTTTGTTTTATTTTAAAAATTGTATACATCTTAATTTTTATAATTTATATTGCTCCATTAAAAAAAAAAACTTTTTAAACAAACAAAATTTTAGTTTATTTTTCATTTTATTCTTAAACTTTTTACCAAGTTTTAATGCAAAAATCAAGGAATGAAATCTACTGAAAAGTTTTATGACCTTTTTATCACAAATTTTATTTAGTGATAATATTGTTTAAAATGTAACAGACATGGAAATCTATGTGTCTAACGCCGATGTTGTTGTTGTAGTATCGACACCTGAAATTACACGTATATATAGTTAAAATTATTCGCTACTCTTCTTCTTCCCTCAGGTTATCCAAGTCAGTTTGATCTAAACCCAGTAGACTAGCCAAATCTATCGGCTGAGTCCATAGGGATTCAGGTTCCAGAAAGTTTAAAAGATGTTGAACATTGTGTGGCCCTGTGCCACACTCAGGACAGAGATCTTGAATCGTGTCGTTTATTCTTGAACAGTAGGGTTGTGCCAATATATTACGATGCGGTTTCGTTGCTCGTATACAACGGGTGGTTGATGACCTCTCACTATAATACTATTGCGGTGGGAATTGATGGAGTCTTCCAACGCTTTTTGGTGGATAGTATTTAAAGCTGTTGTGTATGAGCTTTCATCATCTATGTTATTCTGGTGTTCTTGGATGTTGCTCTCATACAGACGAATATGTTTCCTGAAATGCCTCTAAATGGTTCTAACTTCGGCGAAAAGACTCCACCTTGGGGTACTCTCTGTTAAATTCTACGAATATTGGATCTCTTGTTCCTAAACTCTACGAATAACTGTCGTCCGCACATGCAGTTCACTAGCCATCTCTTAGTGTTGTCCGAGAGATTAGATGTAAAAATATATCTGAAGGGTATGGCGTGATTGACCGTTCGTTTACATGGTCGGGCTTGATTAAGTAAATGGCAAAATTTGTGTTGTGATGGCGGTTAAAGCTGTCGTTGTGCTGTGCTTTAGACGGAATCCATGTTGATGATCTGCCGGATGTAGATGATGTTGCAATTCCGGGAGGATTAGTGCCTCAAGTGTCTTGGCTATTGGTGACAGGAGGGAGATAGGCCTTTAAGATTCTCCCTGGCTTCTGCAAGGGAACAACCCTACTCAATTCCCAGACCTCGGGTATTATTAGGGTTGACATTGACAAATTGAGGATTTTTGTAAGGAACTCAACTCTCGGTTCATCCTAATTTTTCAGCATCAACATGATGATGACCTTCTTCTTCGCTCGTTTTAAAAACATATGGTCTGTCTGGACCTTTCTTACGATGCTTATTCGCCTTGTCTCTGTCGGGGTTCGACATAGAATCAAGTGCTGTAGTTAAATTTTTAGCTCCTTTAAATTCTAAACATGCCATGACAATTGTAGTCTCAGTTCGATCCCCAGCCATCTCTACTCAAAATCAATTTGTGAAAATAATTAAATTTCTATAAAAACTTTAATTAATTCGCCTACTCTCAACACCAGAGGCGCTGCAACCCTGCACTCTCAGAACAATCATAACCGTGCTGATTACTGAGCGGTGCTATAATTACTGACGAAGGTAACCATAATAGTATTACATAATCCAGCGAACGTACGGTCCTTGCGGCGCTCGACCCGTCACACTCTTCACATTTACATCTCTATGTCAACTAATCTCTCCGACAACTAGCGACTAGTTTCATTTGTGGTTGTTTAGAAACCAGAAGTCAAAAATTTATAACCTCTGCGGTTTTATAAACATTTACCTTGGTGATCATTCCAGCTTTTTCAATAAGAGGAATTTAAACATCTCAATCACGAAATCGTCAGTAAATCTTTTGAGTAGCTGGACAAAAAATAATGGCTAGAACTGGATATGACATTAGATAGTAAATATTGATGAGAATGTAAGTAGGTCGTTACTAAAAAATACGCTTAAACATAAATAGAACGAGGTCGGCAGACAGTCAATATAGTAAGACCATGATTATAAGTACTGAAGTGCAGTAATATGTTAAGCAACTATGCCGAAGATATCATTTGCAGAGAGTCACTAGGTATTTGACCGAATAATCTAAATATTCATTCATAAATACACTTTAATGATCCACCCTATAAACTAAATATATCCACAAATTTTCCATTGAAAATCCTTCCAATTGCTTAAAGGCAACCATACAAACTTTTCAGTGCTATTCTGCATTTCATAAATTCGATTGTCAGTTTTGAGTTCTTTTTCAGTTTGAGATCTTTTTCAGGGAAATAGGTGAATGTTGCTACATTAAGAAACACCCATTTGGGCAGATAAGATCCTTGTCGAAACTGAAGGATCAAGCAGTATGACAGCAGCACCAGTTCTAGATATCGATTAAATTTCCGCATTTACATACGCAACGATCGAAAAAAGTTATTCAAACACAAAATGAAATCGTAAGAAAAAGAAGATGCAATTTCATTCCAATACTTTACGATTCAGAATACATGAATTACGATCTTAGCCATGGAGCATCGAATCGAAATCGAGTCTGAACTCTAGTCTATAATTTGGACTATAGTATGAGTAATTGTCTATGGTGTAGCCTGGATTATAGTGTAATCTAAATCTGAACTCTAGCCTATAAACTGGACTAAGTATAGTCCAGCTTTCTTTTTATTGCAAAAAAAAAAATCCAATTAAAATTTCTAAAACTTTCGCAGTGTAATAAGATCTTATTCAAAACATTTATAGAATTTTTCGTTGACATATTATCTTTGAAAACTGACTATAAGATATACTACATACATACTTTATTTTTAATTATTTATGTTTCAATTTATTTTTGTTTAAACTTAATAGCCTTTAAAACTTTTATTTAAATACCAACTGTAAATGTTTTGAAATTATAGTTTATGCTAAAAATTAACAAACTTAAAAAAAGCCAAACAAAACTAAATTATTTTCAAATAAAATTTAATTTTATAAAACTGTAATAAAAATATTTAAATCTAAATTACCTACCTATATTACTCATTCCCATAATTTGTTTATAATTAAAACACTTTGTTACCATTTGCTAAAAAAAAAAATAAAAACAGAATAAGAAAAAAATGAACGTAAAACGATGATCATGCCTACTTTTTAAAAGAAAATAATTTGTTCCATATTATTGATAAAATCGTAAAAGTAAAATTCATATTTAAAAAATAAGACATAAATTGCATAATAAACAAAAACGAAATGTTTCGAGTTTAATAAAAACTACATACAAAAAAATTGTGTTTTTATTTTATATAGAAAAAAAGGTTTAATTTTTTTATTAGTTTAATTAAATATAATTTTTACAATAGATTTACACAATAATACTATACAGTGCATACTTAATACAAATCATATCTAAATATTCTATAAATAATAAGTGAAATCATCATTATTAGTGATCGGAGTAAATAAGTTTGAAATGTTCTATTTATAGATTGTCATAAATAAATAAAAACTATAATAATTTTCCAGAAGTACAAAAATGTACTTTTATTACATTCTATATTTTCATTTAACCATGCTTTTAATCGATTATATATCTATTCGCTACATTTTTATTTCTGAATCGATATTTGTTTAAATTTCAAATTTTTAATATTAATTTTGTAGAATATTTGAAAATAAAAGTCATAGAAACAAAAGCAACAAAGTAAAGCGATGCTCAGTACATTTTTCTTTAGTTGACATCCCTTGACCGAATAATTCGGGTAATTTCTATACGTAGAACCGATAGGTTGCGATTAAGTTTGCCGACATCACATATTCCGAAATTGAAGGGTGCACACGCGGCACCCTTTGTCGGCAATTTATTGGGCACCCAGAGCGACAAGGCGAAACGAAGCGCTGTTCGCAAACGTCCAGCCACTGACGTACCACAACCCTTCACCCCAGCTGAATTTGCTGATGTCAACAACGACAAACCATCTAAGTCGATTGGGCCCTACGTAATATCCATGCTGTATTAAAACACCCTGGCGACTGGTTAGTTGACTGTGGTTTTCAACATGTCAGAGAGCAGCCTTGTAATACCTCTCTTGATGCGCTTTTCTCAGGGGTTAAATCAGCTGAAGCTCTGTGAAAGGATGAGTCCTAGTGGTGTTTGACCTGTCGAAAGCCTTCTACACTATCAGCCTTCTACAACTCTTCGAGGATATCCTTCAATCCACAATCCCAACAACACGAAAAGATAGATCTGAGTTGAAGTCTGTCGTGAATCTCAACGAAATACATTAATTCTTCCCTGGGCGTAACCAGCAACGACGACCAGCGAAGTCGTCTTTACCACCTCGACGAAGAAAGCATACACGATGAAGAAACAAAGCTCTAGTAGGTGTAGAAACAAAGCTCTAGTAGGTAGCCCTTGTGGTATGGATAAAGAAACCTTGTTAGCGAAAACAATTGGTTGGCCAGTGTGAAAAGTGAAAAAGATCGGGATGGAGAAACAGACTTAATGCCTACTAGGCACGCATAGACCGAGCCGTCCCCAACGAATATGCATGTGGCCCAAACTGATCTGCATTCCTGATTCCATATCAACTATGGATCGATAAAAAGCCCCAAATCAGAATGGATAAAGAAACCTTTTTAGCTAAAACAATTGGTTGGCCAGTGTGAAAACAAAAGTAGTTCAGGCACCAGTAAGATCGGGATGGATAAACAGACTTAATGCCTACTAGGCACGCATAGACCGAGCCGTCCCCAACGAATATGCATGTGGCCCAAACTGATCTGCATACTTGATTTATATCAACTCTGGATCGATTAAGAGCCCCAAATCAGAGACTCTCCCTCATTTTAGACTGTTCCATATAGTCGAGATTTTCATAATATTTTATTTTCTTAAATTACTATGGTCGAGGAGACGAACTCACGCGTTATGAAGATGATTTCTTTACTGCTTTCGATGAATGTGCAAATTTCGATGAAACTGCCTCTGGACCTCGGCATATCGCTAATACTGGGATACAAAAGTCAGACTTTGGGGTATCACTTTCACACTATCCGATATCTAAGCTCTTGCAATTGATAATCGGTTAACGTTGTTGTGTTTTTCTTGGCATATCGATATTACTGGGGTACAATAGTCAGACGTTAGGGAATCACTTTCGCACTATCTCAGTACTTACATTTGATAATGGTTCGACATCGGATGAATGTGTCCAAGAATCTATTGGACAAAGAGAAGTAAGATTGGCTAAGCAGTTTAATATATGGTGAGTATCGTGCGTATCCTCGTATATACGAAGGTCCTTTCTGACATATCTCGGGGGGAGTATCGAACTGTTGTTAAAGTTGTAATGACTCCTTCGATGAAATCCCAGAAAAAACTGTTTAGTCAACACGACATTATGTTCCTTGACTGGGTGGACCTTAGTTTACTCGTGCAGATGTTGTTCCGAGATAATTTGTAAGCAGCCCGTGTGAAGAGATTATTTCACCTCCAAATGAGGGAAAAGAATAACATGGACATAAAGAGGATATCGTTCGTTTCCTAAATAACCACTAAATCACACCTAGCCACATAGTCTAGTTCATAGTCGAATCTTTTTCCTATCCATTTCTTATACTCTGGCTGTCCAATCATAATAGCCATACACAGAGGGAAAAACAAATATACACGCCTGGTACCATATTGACGCCAAAGAGTTTATAAGTTTTCAATAACATCCGTTGTCAAAGTACATACATACGTACGACAACACTATGTAATGTTACCAACGCAACGTTGTCAACATTGCAACAATTCGTTGCCGAAATCTAAATTTTATACACATCCGTTGTCTAAATGTTAACAAACGTGGTAAGCTCACTATTGACAAACAAACCGTTGCCAATAGTGAGCTTACCACGTTTGTTAACATTTAGACAACGGATGTGTATACAATTTAGATTTCGACAACGAATTGTTGCAATGTTGTCAACATTACATACATAGTGTTGCCGTACGTATGTATATACTTCGACAACGGATGTTATTGAAAAATTATAAACAGTTTGATGTCAATTTGGTACCAGGCGTGTATATTTCTTTTTCCCTCTGTGTAGTGCCTTAGAAACCCTTCAATCCATCCTACTGTACCTGAGTCGGACGGTTGGTGTACCCACTAAAAAAGGGAAGGCGGATATGTCCGATATGTCGGCTGAAGACGCGAGTGCATCAAAGCCGGTGCCGAAGGATGATGCGTCGGACACGACGGCTTTCGATTTTGAGCCGCCGGTGGCAACAAGAAGGCTAAGGCATACTGATAGTGAGTTATCTAGCACGGAGACGGAAGAAGTTGCCAACAATTCCGCTAAGGGGTCGGGCAAGACGTTTAAGCTCGGGTCCCCGATTGCTAGGCGTGCTACTGCTGGTGTTACTGCTCCTGTTGCTGAATATCTGCCAAATCTGAGTGGTGTCGTTGCTGCTTCTAGCAGGGCTGGACGAGTCTCTTCGGCTTCACCTAGCGTCAGAATCCTGAATCAGACGGTGGTAGGAGCTAAGGAGATCACACAGGCGATGATGGAGGCTGTTCTAGTAGATGGTGTTGATTCCATACTGGATCGGAAGATCCTAGAAAATGCGGCAAAGTTTGAGGCGCTGGTGTTTAACCTCATGGCCCAAAATGAGAAATTGAAGGGTAAGCTGGAGGTATTGGAGGCGTGTCAGACCACCTTCAAAGTTCCTGCGGCTCCTGTTGTGGCGTCCAGATCAATGTCGGCTCTCAAGAGAGACAACAGGAGTCCCTGCTGCTGTTGCGCCTGCTTCCAATTTGCCGAAGAATGTAGAAACCTGGTCGGTGGTTGTCAATGGAAAGAAGGGTGTTTCGTCGAAGGAGGTGGTGAAGGAGGTTGACCCTTTGGGCGCACGTGTGCACGAGTTGTGGCCTCTACGTCGTAGTGATGGTGCGGTGATGAGAATGCAGGATGACGGAGGGTGCGAATTGGGCAAGCTATGCGTTTTGTGTAGGAGCCAATTAGGTATTAGTATCTCCGTTGAAGGCAGTTTCGGTAGGGTGATCCTGGTTAGCGTATACTGTAGGTTTGGTTATCCATTGGAACCGTACTTAAGTTACTTGGATTCGGTAGGATTTAGTTCAGCGCATAGCTGACTATCTTTCGGTCTTAGGTACGTATAAGGACATGATTGTTAGAGTGAAAGAGGACGAGTGGAGAGACTTCGTACGGGACAATAGAGATGACCCTTGGGGTGCGATTTACCGTATCTGCAGGGGAAGAAGTAGACATGAGGACTTGGGATCCCTTCATGTTGGCGATACGTATTGTCAACATGGGGGGATTGCATGACCCTTCTTTTGAATGTTTTCTTTCCTCGTGAGGAGAATGCTGTTCTACTTTTCCCTGAGGAAGTGGATGGTCCTCCGATCTTGGAAAGATTTTAAATATCTGACAGTGTCTGCCGCGTCAAAAGCAGAAAATCGCCAGGTATTGATGGCATGACTGGAGAGATGTGTAAAAGGATCTGGAAGGCCGTGTCAGAATATCTGGAGTCAGTCTTTGGGAAGTGTTTCAGCGAGGGCTGCTTTCCTGAAGCTTGGAAGATTGATCGGGTTGTCGTTCTCCTGAAGTCTCCTGATAGGGTGAGGAGTAATTCTTTCTTCTTGGCTTTAAGGAGGGCATGAGTGTTGAGGACGCTTGGCAACATGTTGACAGTACTGTCAGTAATTCTACGGCCAAATATATCTTGGTCATATTTGTGGATATTAAGGGTGGGTTTGATTATGGAGTGAATTTTGCGTAGGCTTCGAGAACTGAACTGCCAAGAGATAGCTCTTTGGCAGATTTACTTCAGCGGTCGGAAAGCTTGTATTGTTGGTGCCAGCGGCACGGTTTGGAAAGATGTTGTGGGTGGTTGCCCACAGGGATCCATTTGTGGTCCATTTATATGGAAACTCATGATGGATCCTTTGCTGGGTGATCTTGTACGGTCTTGTAAGTTGTGTGCGTATGCGGATGACAGTTGCTAGGTTGGGAGAATATGCTAGGCAGGTATTCAACAAGAGGAGGACTGACGTTAGTGGAGGCAATCCCTAATGTGGATAGCCGTTGGTGATGTTCCTTGCCAGGTGTCGTGCATTCTCGGCACGGTGGCTTGGCCTAGTTTGCACATAGGTATATGACCGTTAGATAGTTGCTTTCGTCTGATGTTGTGAGCTGCTTCCCTTCCCCAACTTCGTTTTTTATATGCTGCATTATTTAGTTTGCTCTTCCTGTCCGACTTTTTGTTGTTTTAGTAGGAACTGCTTTGATTAACCGAAAGCATCTTTATCTCTTTATGTAGGTGTTCTTCTTTACGTTTCTAAGGGCTTCGCTTTGACAGCTTTGGAGCTTCTTCAATGCGTGTCGCTAACTCGGAGTACACACTGGCGTTTCATAGTTTACCACTGACCGGCCAATTGTTTGCTAGGTAGTTAACACATTTTCTTTATCCATTCCCCAAGTGCTAGGACGGCTAGAGACCTGAGTACTGAGTTCAACTTCGCATTTTGTTGCTGATTGCAGTGGTGTGTGCGGAGGATATAAGGTGATTATCGAATGTGGCACCAAGTATTTTGGGGTGACTGACCGTTAATTTCTTCGCCATCGATTGTCACATTCAGTTTTAGACATACTTGTCCAAGTAGTGAAGAGAGTGGCTGAAGATTTTGTCTGTGATATTTTTAAATTCCTCAAATGAAAGAAGTTGGAAATAGCTTTTTATCAAATCAAATTGCCCGTGGCCAATATCGAAAAGTCATCGGCGTAAGATATTATTTGAACGTAAGATATTATTTGGTAGTTTAGACATATAGAAATTAAACAGGATCGACGAAAGGACTCCACCTTAGGGAACTTGGATCTCTGGTTCCTAAACTCCAAGAATGACTGTCATCAATACACTTAATTCAGTGACCATCACTTAGTGTTGTCAAGAGATTGGACGTGAAAATATCTCATCAATACACTTAATTCAGTAACCATCACTTAGTGTTGTCAAGAGATTGGATGTGAAAATATCTCCGAAGAGAATGGTGTGATTGACTGCATCAAAAACTTTTAATAGGTCGAGTGGCACAAGGACCGTAAGTTGACATGGTCAGACTTGATTAAGTCCGTCAGAATTGATTAAGTCCGTATTTTCCTGGGAGTTTTTTATTTTTTTTATTTTCGGGGACTGCAATTATTATGGAATCACAACGACAAACTAAGATTATTATCTAACTGAGTGCAGCATAAGACTAATTGAATCTCTTATAGTTGAATGAGTTTTTAGATTTAAAAAAAAAACTACTTCTAAACCTTAAAAATTGTATTTCGTAATAAAACTTGTACATTGAAAAATAAAAGCTATTTATAAAATATGTATAATCTATGAAATTATGCGAGTTTAAGAAAATGTTGTAAAGTAAAATTTAATGCATATTCTTAAAATTAGAACAATTGTTTAACAAGTACGTATAAATAATTACAAATGGCAACAGTTATTTAATCTGTCGTTCATAGGGATTCTGGACAAAATACTCTTAATTTCGTAACTTATCTAGATATAAAGATAAATACATAAATATAAATACTTATTTACAACTACATGAACACAAATATAAATAAAAGAAAAGTAAAGTAAAACGCCAACACATTAAACTTAAAACTTAAAAGGGTTTTATTGAGAAAAACTATTTTCTGCGTCGATTCTTTTTATAACCCTTGCCATACCAACCGGCCTGGGTGCGGGCCAATTTACGAGGAAATGTATTATTCAAATGCAATTGTCTTTTGGCCGTTTCGGCCGCTGCTATATGAGCCAATGAAATGTTTTCATCGTAGTCATCTTCATCGTCATCCTCGGTATAGGGACAACACTCACACACCACAAAACGTCCATTGCGAGCACGTTTCTTATGTTTTCTATCGCACAGCAGGAACTTCTTGTAGAATTGACACTCGAATTCGGCATAATGATCGAAACAGAATTCACACTTGGCTGCCGAACGATTCATGGCGAAATTGGGTACAATTTGATGACTCCAGATATCAACATCAGCCGGTGGGGGGAAAACTATGCTGTGCAGGCCCGAGTAGGCATACTTCACATCATACCAGACGGGTAATTTTCGTCTTAGCAAATGTTTTCTCTCCTGCGACAAGGCATACGAAGAAATTGGTGAGGTTTTCAAATTACAGCTGTTATTGGATTTTGTTGGAGTTGTTAAGGCAAGATTTTTCAAAATATCCATTTGTGATAATATGGGTTCATCGTTTTCTTCTTCCAAAGCCGATATCTCGTCCTCTTCTATCTCCTGCTTTTGGTCATCTTCTATAGATTGTTCATCGGCGGATAATGTTTCTTCATCCACAATGGCCTCTATGGGCTCTAAAGATGGCAAAGGTTTCTGTAGACTTGGGGATAAGAGTGATGTTTTGTATAGTGGTGCCAAGGGTGGTGGATCTGCTGAAGTTTTAGTTGCCAGGGGAGTTGTGCTTAGAGGAGTTGTTGTTATAGTGGACTGTAACTTTGATTTGTCATTGTTTTTGAGGCCATTATATGGCGCAGACTTAATGCCATCTTCAGTTTTATACTGCACCTGTATGCATTTCGGCAGTTTCATTAATATATGCAAAGGAAACTGATTATTTGCAGATGTTGGTTGTGGTGGTGGTATTGGCGCAGCAACTTGATTTACATTTTGCTCTGTTTTTATGGCGGTATTGGGCAAGCCATTGGATGATTTAGCCACATCACTTTCAGCTATTAATTGGTCTTGTACCAAAGCCAATTTTGGAGTTTCCGACTCTAAGGGATTCTTTAAACCCATTTCATTTTCTAGTTTTTCCAAAAATTCTTCTGCATTTTTAGTGATTTCTGTGGCTTGTTTAATTAGCAACTGTTCACTCTTGTGTAATTCTGCTATTTCTGCCAAGACATCGGTTTTTGGCTCAAGTTTAACCGGCAAATTAGCTAAAGCATCTGCATTTAACTCAATTTTTATCTCTTTTTTTGTAATCTCACAGCTGTTTGTGGGCACAGTTAAATTTTGCTTCCTAAAATCTTTCAATTTGAGAGCACAATCATTTGTTTTAGTTGCACTCTTCAAACAGGTGTCCTTAGGTTTTGATATTTCCACCGAAAATCCCTTGTTTCTTAAATCTTTTATAAAATCTGTTTCAAGTTTTGTTTCAGGCACACTAGTTTGGTGGGACATTTCAACTTTAATACTGCTGTTTTCTTTTGCTTTCAAATTCTCCCCTAAAAGACCGTTCAATTTCAAATCTTTAATCGATTGAAATTGTATTTCGGTTTTATTTGCAAACGTATTAACACACATTTGTTCATTTGATTTTGTTATGCCATTCATTTTGCCATCTTTTGCAGCATTTGATTTGTTTTCTGTCGGCGGCATTGAACTAATTTCTGTATTCGATTTATTTAAATTTGTAAATAAATCCTCTAATTTAATAGAGTTTTGAAAGGCATTTTCTTCGGTTTTTAAAATATCTCCTGTGAGTAAATCGTTCTCTAAGTTGGCATCATATTTGAAATCATTAAGACTGTTTGCAAGATTTGTTTCATCAAGTTTTGCATTGTTTAGATTGAGATCAAACATTTTAATTTCGTCTTGCATTTCAAATTTAACTTCTGTGGGATTAAGTAAATTGTTATGAAAATCATCAGTGGACTCTTTGAAACGTTTGAAATTTTCATTATCTTGTTGTTGCTGTAAACTGTTTGAGTCGTAATCATTTGTTTGTTTGAATAGTTCATTTTTAGCTTTTAGGTTCTCAGTAATACTTTCAGTTAGACTAACATTATTGATTTCATCTTGCTGTGACAAAGATTCTGTTTTAATTTCTTTTTTCCCCATCAAGGGCGTATCACCCTCATCCGATTCCATTTTGAGTTCTTGTTTAATTTTGTTCTTTAGTTCCAAATTGGTTTTTATACCCGTTGCCATTTGTTTTAAGGGTGTTCTTATGCGTGGACCCTTACCAATGCGATATTCAGCACCCATAGCACAATAACTGTCACTACTCATAGTCGAATCTTGTGTTTCTTCATCTGCTGTGCTGTCAGCTGATAATGTAGTGGTTTCTTCTTTCTCCTCCTCGTCGGACTGTTTGAGTAGGGGTTGTGTTAGTGTATGCAACTCTTCGGGCATTAACATGGTGGCATGAGCAAAAATGGGATCTTTTTCTTTTGTATAAACAGGCACTGGTATTTTCAAAGCATTCATTAGCATTTCCATTACACGATCGCATTTACCATTGATTTTAACCTGGGCCAGAGTATCTTTCGGTGTCCACTGTAAATTAACTATACATATTTTAGCCCTTTGTCTAGCCGGTTTATCCATCTGCCAAAGCCAGGTGTATTTTTTCAATACCTTTAAGCTAGAACCTAAACACAGTATGACATCAGCCTTTTCCGCATGATGACAAGCACCGGCCCAATTCAAAGGCCACTTTATGTTTCCTCTTTCACCAAAATGCACAATTGTATCGCATAAGGGTTCGGAGCATTTGTGACATAATCTATTGGTTTTGTGGCAGTAGCGAGCAGTCATCTCGGTTGTATCAAACAGTCTCCAATACACCGAATTCGGTTTGCAGTTCTTACATACTTCTACGTACATATTGCCATGAATTTCCGAGAGTGATGCTTTCGGCAGTCCCGATCTTAAATGTAAACCATCACAATTTTGTGATACCACATAGCGTAAGATGCCTCTCCGATGTAGTTCGTATAATGCCATATGTGTATATGTGGGATTTGCTGCAGACAAATCATGATCTCCTATTTCTTCACCTTTTTGTAAAAGAGTCCAAATACCCTTGCTCCCCCTATAATCGGGTATTAGAGCTGCTGTACTTATGCCGGCCCCAGTGTAACATATTAAATGTTTGGCCTGCAATATAATACTGGCTAATTCCTCCACCTTGGCTTCGATGACCTGGACATCATCTTCCTTTTCGATTACACGATCTTTATAGATTTCAACGCGCTCTTTGCGTTTTTTTACTTGTTTAACAATTTCCGGATGTTTTTCCAAAAATTTACTTTCTTCTAAAGTTCGTGTTGTTTCACATTTACGATAGATCGATGATACCTAAAGTGGATTCAAATAAAGAAGAAATTAATTGTTTATTTTGGCTTTTTTTATAATTTTATTAAAATTAATTTCTAATTTGTATTCTTTAAAGGAATTTCCTAAAATTGAATTAATTCCCTGAGCAAGATTCTGGTTCCTCCTTATTAGTTTATAAAACAATCCATGTATGTATGTTGAAAACATGAAAGAGTCCACCCAATAAGAGATAGGAGACTAACTTAAAAATACCTGTAAAGTGATGGAATTCGACAATAAAATCTCTCTAGCAAAAAAGCCCTTAATTGATCCTATTCCCCATATAACCCCTCTTACACAGAACTATTTTTTACTAATAAATCGGTAAAAAATATTGAAAAATAATATTTCTACAAACTTTTTGGGGATAGAATTTGATACCACTAAGTTTTTAACTAAAAATATATTAATATAAGATTAAATACAAATAACTTTTGTACATATAAGCTTTTCCCAATTTTCAATTCATTCCAAACTGAAATTAACACAAAGTTGTCTACTTTTAAAAACGGGAACAAGTTTTCCCAAGAAATTTCATTCTGGCAGACTTTTAAGGAAAATGCAGAATGATATAATTAGCAGTAAAGAGTTATCTTCTTCTTATTGGAATTGTGGCAAAGATTAATTATTAAATTACTTATAAAATTTTAAAACAAATTACTAATTAGTATAACAAATTATTAAAATGCATTCATTTTAAGCAGTTAATAGAAAAATAGACCGCATTAAATAGAAAAAATACACACCCACCCCCAAAAAATACAACGAAAAAAGAAAAATCGCACAAGGTACAGTGTACCAACCAACAACAACAACACACATACACCTTATACACACATTCTCCAATTATAATTTACCCACCAAAATGCAAGAATATTATTATAGCTTAACAAATAGCAATTATTCAGTTTAACACAGAAAAAGTAATAAAGTTAAACAATTATTTCTTTATTTACCTTACGTAGTGTATCCTTTCGGCGTCTTTTCTCATTATCGGTCTTGGCCGGATTTAGTTTTGCTCGTGTTATATACGTTTGTAATGCTTCTTTTGCGGATTTTTCTTTTGATGGTATATCAGTGTTGTCCTGTGACGATGATTCCATATCTTCCGTATCCATTTTATTTCAATAACTCATTAACACATAAATATAAATAAAAAAAATAACACACACAAATAATTTTGTAAATTTCCTTTACTTGGATTTTACAATTGGCCAAATAACCAACCAACTTGTCTGACCACTAATCACAATTTCTTTTGAAACTTCGACACACCACAGCAGAGTGAGTGCTACTACTTCTTGCACTGCTGCAAATGAACCCCCTTCGTTAAATGTATTGTAGTAGACAAAAGGAAGCTGCGTTTTTTTCCACACACATTTACCAATAATAATTGCCAATGCTTTGGTTTTCTCATGGCTTATATAAAAAAACACTTTATATTTGCACTTGTGTTATTGTCATTATTATTGTTATTTTTTTATTATAACTTTTATATTTATTGTTTTTTATTTTGATCAGTTAATTTATTAATTTTTATATTTTCTTATAATATATATTTATTTTAAAAAAAATTTAACACAAAATAAACAAACAAAAACAATTCTTCTTTTTGGCTTCTCTTTTGCTATTGTCAAAATCATGACAACAAAACGTAATGGAAAGGAAGGTATAAAGCTGCCAGATTGTTAAAATTTACTGATTGTTGTTAGAGGTAAATATTGATGTAAAAAATGTCAAATTTTGAATTAGATGTAAAAATATGTGTAAACAAATTTATTATTGGTTTAAATTTAAATGAATTTATTCTTATTAGATTATGGAAATCTTAATAGAAAATGAATAATAAAATAGAACATAATGTTTCATCAAATAAACTATTGAATTTATGTGAATTCAACATTTAAACTTCAAAATATTTTTTTATATATTAGAGTTTAATTTCAGTTAGACGAAATGCGAAATTCTTATTTATAATCTCGATTAGACATTTACTTGAGAAACCACAAAACGTATTTTATGGAAATTCATGTAACGCAATTTAGTAAATTTTTAACGACACAATTTTGTCATTAAATCGCAAAATTCGTAAGATAACGATAGTTATACAAATTTACCGTTAACAATTTTATTTTTCAAAAATATTTCATTTATAAAATTCAAAAATATTTCAATTAATAAAAAGGAATGAATTCATTGCTTGTCAAACATTTATTTCAATTCAATTAACGTACATATTTACTAATCCAATCTAGATAAAAATTTACATTTGTATATATCGCTGGTACATTGGGCAGGGCACAACCAGCAAAACCAAACGAAGTAATTCCCACCACATTAAACATACAGGGATATTTTGTATGTTGCACCAGTAAAGGACCACCAGAATCTCCTTGGCAAGTGTCTTTTGCTTCAGTAGAACCAGCGCAAAGTTGAGAATATTTAAGTCCCTCTGGTAGTCGGTCTTGACCTTCTGATCCTTGCGCTAACCAATCACACTTTGCATGAGAGTAAGACCTTAAAGTAACTTTCTGTAAATGAGATGAACTTTCACCCGAAAACTTTGTATGACCCCAACCGATGGCAATTAAAGAATTGGCGTTTTGTAAACCAGACGATGTTGGCAAACAGGCTGGATGTTTATAACGATCAAATTTGACAATTGACGATAATTTAACTAAACCTATGTCATTATAGGGTTTACCATAATTATAATCCGGATGTTCAATTAATTGTTGTACAGCGAAGTCTTCGGGTTTAGCATCGTCACTATCGGAGTCAAAGTCTAATTCGCCTAAGCGTACACGATTGACATGGCCTCTAGAAGAAAATAAAATATAAAACACAGATTAGAAGATCCAAAACTCACTATCTTTTCCATTAAATTGCATAAAATATAATATTTATTTTTATTAAATCAATAGAAAATTTTAATATTTCAATTAAAATCTTTCTATCTGTTATAAATTTGTAAATAATTTTGCAAATATTTTAAATTCCGATTATACAAGGGTTTAAGATATGGTCTTAGAAAAATATAGCAGAAGAAAAATTAAATAAACTTCACGAAGTAGCAAAATAAACAGTTTTTGGTCTCCAGAAAACTTGTGTTATTTTAGATAGAGACTATTAAATATAGTCACTCAAAAAAAGTACAGAAAACTAGTTGGAATATTCAGAATATTATATTCTTCTTATCGAGAGCAGCAGGACAATCCGAAATAAATGTATTTATCCCAACCCACTGCTGACATTAAAAACTTCTAACCTATTTTAAAAACTCCAACATTTTTGATAATTGGTATATAAACAATTATAACACACCTAAATAGTGGTTGTAGTCCCACAATATGAGGAGCAATAGGAGGAGATGCCTACAAATATTCTCCATTAACAAGGTTTGTTTTTATTTAAAATGGAAAATATCGGTTCATGATTTAACATTTGTATGAAATGACTACCGGAATACAGTTTAACCTGTCACAAATAGCAATCGTAATAATATTTAGCATTATTTATCCAGAAATTATTAAGACAAAATTCGACAAAAATCATTTTTTCCAAGAAATCGATCCATAAAGCTCCCATAAGTGTTTATATGTATGTATTAATAACAATATTTGAAAATGCAATCTTGTGTATTTAGATTGCAATTTTTTGTGTATTACTGTAGTGTATAGTAAAATATATTGCAAAAGCAATGATGCAAGTCCATTTACACACGATTTTCGATAGAGTATTTGTGAATTTACTAGTATATATGTATATACATATGTATGTACATAAATACTTACAGTGAAGCGTAAAAACAATGAGCCGCTGTTAAAACAAAAGATTCACTTAAAAGTGTACCACCACAAAACCAATTAACATATCCATTCTCAGCCATATGACCCAAACGGGCCGCAAAAGCAAATTCTTTAGGACGAGCATTTTCACCACCCACAACAAAACCTCCAGCAGTTGAACAGTGATCCTCGGTAAAAGATATTTCATTAGCACCAGGCAGATAGTAACTAAAGGTTTTTGTTTCCTCAAATACCAATTGTTTGTATTTTGAACATTCTATAGAACAGGCAAAAAAAAAAAAAAAACAAAATTAAAAAAATTTATAACCAAATCGTGAAATAATTTTAAACACTTTATAAATAGAGTATGTACTCGTAATAATAACAATAACAACACATACTAAAATCATTTTCCTGCATTTCGACACAGCCCATAATCAATAGACTTAAGAAACAAAACTTGAGTAGAATTTGTTTATTATTTAAAAAGTTTTGCATAATGATGATGTTTTTTTGTTGTTGTTTAAATAAATTTATTTACTTTACTTTATTATTTATTTTTATTTTGTTTATAACAGAAATTACACTGAAATAACGTTCAAACACCTTTAAAAGTCACTCTAACAATGATGATGATCAAACGAATGCTAATTTTAAATCAAATTTGTATTTTCTGTTTTTTATTGTGTTTTTCAGACCAGTCTCTGCCAGAATAAGAACAAATAAATACTTAGTAGTTGGGACTTTTTGTTGTTAGTAATAAGAAAATGTATTTACTATATATTCGGTTTTTTCATCAATTACTTAAGTAAATAATGTTAAAAAAGGGATTTTTTTTAATTAAGCTACTAATTAAGCTATATTCTTTATTTGCAGAGTTCTAAAATAACTTATTGTATTAGTGCATGTAGTTAAACAAATATAATAATAATCTATTGTGAATTTAATTTTAATATGTTCAATATTCTTTTGGCTGGGATTTGCAGAAACTAAAACTACGAAAGAATTCTATTTTATGAAAAAAAATTTAAAAATGGGTTAAAAAATGTAAACAATTGACCAAATATTTTTAAACAAAAATTTTTGAAAATTTTTTTGAATGTTTTTGCATGCAAATAAATATACATATTTAATTTAAATCAAAACCTTGAATAAATTAAAATTTTTTGAAAAAAAATTTTGAAAATTTATTTGAATGTTTTTGCATGCAAATAAATATATGTACATATTTAATTTAAATCAAAACCTTGAATAAATTAAATTAACTTTTAAAGAATTTTCAAATTAGAATACAAACATTTAATACATTTAAATCTCTGAATTATGCTGCAGAAATAAATAACTGGTTTTATTACAAAACTATACAATATGTATGCAGATTTCAATAACAAAAATTCAATGTTAAAATTTAAAGATATAATCAAATTGTTTGATATAAAGGGGACTTACATTTTCCAACCAAAATGCTCCTCTAAGCTGACACCAGTGTCAATATTAAATGGCTTTTAATGATTTAATAATTACATTTTCATGTCTGTCAGTCATTGAGTCATCCGTTAAGAACTCTAATACAGTTTATTTAAAAAAAAAGGATTTTTTACCGCATGATAGTTCATTATCTTCTCAGAACAAAAATCGAAAAATAGGTCTCTGAAATCATATAATATGATCCATATCATTAAGACATTTTTATTGAATTAAAATAGCATTTAAGCTATGTATACACGGATGTTAGATCTTACAACGTTGGCATTAAAATGTGCAGAAAATGTCTAACAATAGTATGAACTTACAAATTTTATCTTGCAACATTGTCATTACTGCTTTTTCTGACAACTTTGCAAAAGAAAAATTGTAAGTTCACACGATTGTTAGACATTTTTTGCCCATTTTACTGACAACGTTGTAAGATCTGAAAACCGGTTTTAGTTTATTAGATATCGTGTTTTTCGTGATATCTGTGTCAAACACAAAAAAAGAACTATGTTTATCATAGCATAACTCTTTCTACTGATTCTACATTAGTTGTATCATGTAACTTTAAGTTACGATATCTCGAAGAAGGAAGAATATGTAACACGGTTAAACCTTTATTTTAAAGTCGACAGATTATACTTTCAGATGAAAGTATTTATAACAGATGTTATAAATAAAGATGTTTTCGCGCTGGTATATTTATGACACAATATCTCAAAAACCTAATGTGATGGATAAATTCGGAGATTTCATATTCTACGTAGCTCTTGTTGCTTTTTTATATTAAGTTATATTTAATCCCAATTATATCTACAAAATTTCAAAATATTTTCATCCAAAATTCCAATTTTTAACCACTTGGATCCCGCTATTATTCAATATCGTTAAAAATTATAAAAAACAGTTAAAAACTTAGCCGGCTTACAGCCGATTTTAAGCTGTCGCCCAAATTTTTAATTTCAACCGCCGCCGACGCCGCCAATAATATTTGTCGGCGCAGATCTCTTGTGTGTAAAAGAAAAAAGTTTTTAGAAAAGAAAAATTGCAAGAATTCCTCAGTTTTCCAACTGTGTTTTTTCGTGTGTGTGTAAAAGAAAAAAGTTTTCGGACAAAAAACCAAAAAGAAAATTTTCCTCATTACAAAATTTTTCCAAAAAAAAATAAAAAATAAATTAACACAAAAATATCCCAATTGGAATTAAACAAAAAACGAACAACTAATTGGAATACAAAAGCTTAATAATAGAATAGTATTTATAACTAAGAAAAAATGTGCACAAATATTATGTGAAGTGAAAAAAATATTGGCATTGAAACGAAAAAGAAGAAAAGAAAAAAATTCTGTAGTAGTGAAAAAATCCATTTGTAAAAAAAGAGGAAAAGGCAGTGCAGCAGCAGAGCCGAGAAAAAGAAGTATATACGACGCGAGCAGCACACAAGCAGACACACAGACGGACGGACATACGTTTATAGATGCTAGCGTTTCGCTAACGTTAGCTCATTGAGCTACACGGAGCAAAAAGTTTTTGTATTTTTATATAGGGGTTTTTGCTATTTTTCTGGCGGGGTCTAGGAGCAAAATCAGCTCATAGGAAATACACAAGTTTGTGTGTAATATTTTGTTCAGTTTGCTCAATGACCTATTGTGTTGCAAGGCTTATTATTAAGGTGACAGCAGAAACGAATTCGTCAAACTGTTTGTATGGAGTATGACAAAGTGTCAGATTTTTTTCATGTGTAATTTGACATTCTGGTAACTGACAAAATGTCGACCTGCTACTACTAGAGAAAGAAAATTCAAGTAGAAAGAAAATTCAGAAGAAGAAGAAGAAGAAAAAGAAAAATTTTCTTGTGTCAATGTGTATGTGTGAAAATGTTTGTGTGTGTGCATGTGTGAAAATATGTGTGTGGAGGAGATTACAGAAAAATATAATTTTTTCTTGCTGCCACAATTTAGAAGAAGAAAAATAATACATATTTTTTCTTCTTCATTCTTTCTACTACTTTAATTACAATTTTATTTGTATTTATTTTTAACAAAAAATACATACCTACATATTTTCAATAAAATTTTATATACTTTACATGTTTTGTGGAAAATGTAACAGTTTTATGAAAAAAAGTGAAAATTATCCTAAAGAAATTATAAACTTGTGAAAAACGGCTGTAAACTTTTTTCTTATTTGAATGAGTATAAGAAGAAAAATTCTTATGACGCAGTATTGAAACAGAATAATTTCGTATAATTATTAATAAAACTGAAAAGTTTAAACAAAAAAAAGTTAAAATATGAATGAAATATTTGTTTAAAAGTGAAAAATTCCTTGGAAAAGTATTACAAGTTAAAAATAATAAAAGAAAACTTAAATACATACACACAAATTTTTTTAAATATTTTTGGAATTCATTCAGTAACGTCGTGATCAAACTCTTTAGGTACAAAAAAATATAAGAAAAATTAGAGGAGCAAGTATATCTCTGCCAGCTATATCTTCGCGGTTGCCATTGTGGTTGCTCGGTTGATTGAATTGGTTTGTTTGTTTGTTGGTTGGTTCTATGTACAACGATGAGTATGTTGCCTTCACTTGCATTTTTCAACTTCATCTCGTCTCGTACTCATCAGCATTAACATCATCATCATCGCCACCATCATCATAGTTGTAGTCGTCATTGTAATCGAAAGTCTGTTGAATTTTTGTTTTTAATTATTGGATGTGGGTAAAAGTAGTTTCTATAAAGATAAAAAACAATTATTTTTTAGTATTTTTTATGAAATAAAATTTTGAATAAATTTTTTAAATTAAAATGAATTTCATTGAAGGATGCTATAGAAAATTGAAGTATATACGGTTATGACCAATCATAAAATCCTAAAAGACAGAGATTTTAACTAACGTCTAACCACCTGTTTGCCTCTAATTTGTCTTTTATCACAGATGTACTCTTTGTAAACGAGGGTGAAGATAATTGTCCCTTTAGTGTCCCCTTTGTACGCGAGAGAGTGGACACTTGAAAAACAAACTTAAGCCTTTTCTCTTTCTCTTTGTAATCTATGGGTTGACAATTAACTTCTTCGTAGGACAAGCACATGTTAAAATAAATAGTCAACTGGGCCATCGGTTGCTAGGTGTCCGACCGAACTGCTGGGACACTTTTTTAGGGTTAAAATTGTTTTTAATTTTTTCTAATAGTAGATGAAACTAATGTGCGTTACTGGCCTAATATTGGCTTTCATTTAAAGATCTTAGTACCCCAAAATTTGAAAGTTTTTGGTTTACCGGTTTTCCTGTAACTTTAACAGGAACACTTCACACGTTCCCTGGAACAAACATAGAAATATTACAAATTTCGTGAGTTTATCGATTATGAAAAACCTTTTTGTGTAAAGACTTGTGTATATTTGAAAATTTTAATAGAAGTAAAAGTATCTGAAATTTCCTGTAAGAACAATTTTGTTTACCTATTGATGACCATTCTAGTCCATTGACTATTTAAATGTGTATTACAATTTGGATATTGATTAGTCTTATAGATAAATCTATGGACTAGATTTCATGACATGGCTCAGCTACTCAGTTGGAGCTTATTGCTAAATAACTGAGAAAATTTATACATTTTTGTATAACAAAATGTATGGATCAAGTCCGAATTATATTTCAAAACGCAAATAGTATGCTATCTCTTTGCAAGCACAAAATATATCTATAATTTTTCTTATTTATTATCATCTATGTCATTTGTTTGACCACTTTTGATTACAATATGATGTCAAAGTTTAGAAATTAGCCGATAAAAAAACTCACCTGATAATATAATTACCCTCAAAGTTGGACCATTCTATGCGATGCGGTTTTTAGATAAATCTCAGCCATAAACAAATCTAAAGGAATTTTATTCAAGAAACCAGAGCTATAAATTTCTCATTGCAGGGTATAGACAAAGAAGATGTTAAATTTCATTACAAAATCTTCTTCTACAAAAGTAATATTCTGGTTTTAACTATTACAATGTATTAACATTTCTGGTACTTAAAGTCTAAGGGAATACATAATAACTTTATTGGATTCCGAGTTCTAACGCAAAACTGCTATTATTGAGATTTCTACTTTCAAAACTCTTCCTAAGCAAGCAAATTAGATGCTATAGGGAGACAGTATTATTACTGTGGTACTTTCACAATCACTGGCTGAGCTGATAGAAGATTCACCACAACCCCTCTGTACCTTGCAAAGAACACACAGATGAAAATGTTTTTATGTACCTGGTTCGGACGGTCATTAAACAAGCAATTTGCTTAAGTAATATAGCAATATAGCTAATATTGCCTAACTTCCAAGATGCAAAAACATCACTTCCGTTTACATTCTTTACAGCTAACGTAATCGGTAGACCGAAAAAACAATCCACCAAATAAATTCTTACTCACAGAGAATACACTGTGGTAATTCATATAAGAGCCGGGCTTGAACATACCTGGACAAAGAAAGGAATTCTATGGTATCATACGAACAAGACAATCATACATCCATCACCATTCATTATAGCACACTTTTGATTTATCCGACACATTCATATGAGTATATCCTCACCTGAAACGTAAACGGCCTTAACTAACCAAAAATTCAAAATCGATTTTATTGTTGATTCTAATGTATTGCATCAAAACAAATTTCCACATAAATTTTACTCCTCCGACCAAAATTTGCGTTTTTATTGACAAATAACAATCTACAAAAACATTTAAAAATTAAAGGTAGAAAGTCCAATTGATTCATTTTTATCTACATACATACATACGCCATTGTCAACTATCTTAACAAATAATAGGTTTCACTATCAAACAATTAGAAACAAACTTTTCAATTAAAATATTTTTTTGCTTCTCCTATAAAATTTCAAAAATGCTAAATAGGACCCTTTGCGTTTTAGATGACGATATGGGTAATGCTAGATCGATATACCTCTGATTCATTCTATATCTTATTCAGTTATATAATACTTATAGGACTGGATAAACGCAGTCTTAGAGATGCTAACGGGGCTTTGCTAAGTTAGGGCCTTTATCAATAAGTGGGCAGTCATATACCGGACTATTGCAGGTTATGCTATGATGAGAAGGACAATTAGCAACTATTCTAGAATACAAAATCTCAGCCTGGAATGGCTAGGGATAGTTTCCATGATGAACTGGGGGAAATTGATATGAATTGATTAGAGAAACAGAAATAACACATAATTAAAGTTAATAACTGCTTATAAATGCGATGGAAATGAGTCAAATTTGAGAATTATAATTAATAGATTTAGCTATTTAAGTCATTTAGCTATTTTTTCGTTCGCTGATCCGATGCTCATAATAGCAGAATGAATCATAATTGAATTATTCATATAATAACAAATCTAAAGAACCTTTTAACACTTCCATGTCTTTCCGGCTATACTCATTACCACATTGAAAGTCTATTTTTGCTTGACCTTGTGCTTTCTTCATGATTTGGATGTCTAACCTTTCTATAACCAGCCAAAAAGTAATTTATTGTTAAAATCATGTATAAATGATTAAGGTTTATGGAACCATATTTTAAATTCTATAACGAGGAGTATTACTTCTTAAAGGATCACAAAGAGACGAGATTCTTTACTAATTCATATTCTTTCTTTTATATTAAAATAAATATACAAAGATTTTTCGAAAATATCAATTTTTTTGCCTACAAATGATAAAATAACACTTAAAAGACATAAAAAGGAGTAATTTTTCCATCAATGTAAAATGGATCCATTTCAGGGAATCAGTTATCACCAAATATCTAAGGCGAAAAGGTTATAATCTCTTGTTTATGTAACAGTTAGTCTATGGTCAATAGTTTTTTTTTTTCTTGGTGTCGCTTTGGATCGAAAATCCAATTTTTGAGGGAACGGTAATGATCCGTATTATGAGCTACTGAAATCGCAAGAAATGCATATTACAATATCAGTTAAAAACTATTTACAAAATAGTGGTTAGGAAGGTGTAACTTATCCTCTTTATAGTCTTGAACTTGTTATGTCCAATCAATATGTGTTCCGAACGATGTATACAAATACGTTACACTTTAGAACTGGGTATCTTGGCTGAAAATGAGCTGTTCTTTGGGAACAGCATTCATATGTTGAACTCTGCCGAACAAAATTAGAGATTTTATGTCATACATACAGATTTTATGACATACATACATATTAAGGCTAAAAGACCATATAAACGTTTGCAAATACAGCATTGTCAATTAACTCCCGTATTTCAAATAGTTTTTGCTTCTCCTGTAAAATTATGACAACGTTTGATATATTTTTATGTTTTTCCTAGTTATATACATACATATCTTGTAAAATTCATTAATGAAATTAATAAATAATTCATTTAAATTACTGGTTTTTGTAAAATGCACAAAACAAAACATACAAAAAAATAAAAACAACAAGAACAACATTGTCCTTTACCCAATATTTAATTTTGTTTTCTCTAGTGCCAGTAGAACACAAACAACACTATCATCAACAACAAGAGCCATAAATGCATTATACATGTCCCACTTATTGCAAAAAAAAAATCTACAGAAAAATCGTGACCCATATCGTTAAAAGGTTGCTTGCTCTGCTTTAGCTTTCATTTAAAGGAAAATCGAATAATAAAATAAAGAAAAAAGTTTAAACAAACATCAAAATCAATCAAGTGAAGTGAATCGATTCTATCTAACGAAACCAACCAAACCAAACCAAACAACACAACCTTCTTCATCGTTCATGTTCAGAGGACGACAACAACAATAACAAAAACTGCAATATATTAAAACAACATTTTCTTGGTTTTATTATTTTATTATAAAAACAATGACAACAACTACAACGTTGCATCATTATTTTGTCTTCAATAATAAAAATAACAACAAAATAGAAAATCATTAAAAATATATAAAAAAAACAAAAACATTACAAGAATCCCTCAACAATATCCTCTAAAATACTCTCACAACAACAATAAGAACAAGAAAAACGGTGGCAACAAAACAACTACAACAATAGTATCGTAAAATAACAACAACGACAAACTAAATTGTGTCAGTCAGTCTGTTAGTAGTAGTTGGTTGTTCTTCATTTTCTTCTCCTGTTTTTCTTTCATATTTTTTTCTCTCTCTCTCCATCAATAATAAAGTGCAGTTAGTCTTTGTTGCCTTTATATATCGAAGTGTATATGTGTGTGCGTCAGTGTGTTTGCCTCTGTGTATTTATACTTCATTCGTTCAATATTTTTTATACAGTTTGTTTCTTTTTTTGCATATTTTTTACCTTTGCATCCGTATCCGTTTTCTTCGTTCGTTCGTTTTTTATCACGTTTCCGTTTGAGTAACCTCAAAAATATTTTGTGTAATTAAAAAACAACAAAAACAACAAACATAAATTTAAATTAAAACATAAATAAACTTACTAAAACAACAACCCACAACTGTTATTGCAATAACAACAAATCACAGCTTCCACACACACAACAACAATGTTTACGGGTAAATTACAAATAAAAGTCTGCGAGGCGAGCGGTTTACGCCCAACAGATTTTCAAAAACGTCATAATCTAACATTTGGAAAATTGGCCGATGAACAATTAATTGATCCTTATGTCTCGATCGATGTTGATGATAATCATTTTGGTAAGTACCTAAAGATTCTTTAACATTTTACTAACCCATATAATTGTTTTAGTTATAATTGTCTTAGTTTCTTAAAAATAATAAATGAAATTAATTAGAAATTAACAAAATTAAAAATTATAGAATAACTTTAATTTTATAGAATCCTATGTAATCACCTTAACGTATACGTAATATTTTTTAATGAATATTGCTTATACGTATTGGAATATGATTTGGAATATGAGTTGTGCTGAATCTGAATTCATATTCGGAATTCCTGATTCACATCAGATACAGTTTATAATAGAATATCCACAGACTTTATACTAGAATATCCACCTTTAAGTATACCTAACGATGATTCATTCTTAAGAAAGAGGTATACGACAAGTAGAAGTGTTTTACCCCTACTATGGTTACTGGCGGTCAACTTTATCTTCAGAATCTTTGAATCCAAAGGTTAAAAGATAGTCGCTTATGTGGATGACATGGTGTTACTGGTTAAAGATAAATTTTCCCCAAACCATCAGTAATGCAGAATGGGAATGGATTGTGTGTGAATCCATCTAAGTAAGACACTCTTCACTAAGTAAAATAAAGTAGACAGTTTTAGCTTGCCAAAAAGACTATAAAAGAGTCCTAGTGCCAATTACAGATGAAGATTTGAGGTTTGCAACCAGACATGCTGAATTGGTTTTACACGTCGGTAGTAAGTCTGATTATTACCTATAGTTGTACCGAGTGGTGGATAGCTAGGAGGTATATTGAGAGTGCAGCGGATAGGAACATATTTAGACTGTTTGAATTAGTAAGATCAAAGTCACACAAGGAATTGAGGGAAGTACGGAGGGTATTTCTGACCATTTGGTTACGTTCTTCGGGGAGACACCTTTAATAATGATTCCTAGACTTCCGGACGAATGTGTCTTTCAGCAAACATTACTAGAGGGTCGGAATTAACGATTTATGTTGATAGTCAGGCAACTCTTATACACAGTAGGGTTGTGTTGGGTACACGGACAATGTAATATACAGTGTATCGAGATCTAAAATTATTTGTGAAGACAGGGTTTGGATCTGGACCTTAATAATAGGCTAGTCCTGTAAAACATCCTATCTGTTATTACAATACACTTATCTATACTAGCACGCTAGAATGTTACAAAGTTTCTACGGCAGTATGGCCGAAAATAAATGTAAAATTAACCAGAGTACTCTTAGAATTGGATTGGAAGTGTGCGAGAACTTTAGTAGGAGTAATAACAGGTCACTGCGCCTTTAGGTATATTAGCAACACAGGATTTCTGCAGGTTGTGTGAAGACGAAGAGGAACTAGAAACAGTATAACATATTTATTTTATGCAACTGTTGTCCTGAAGATTGAAATAGCAGGTAAAAGATTCCACGATGAACTGTGAGGTGCGTTTTAGGCTACATTCTCGATTTCATCAGGGGAATAGATTGATTATACAGACAATGTACAACCGAGATTTGACTTACATTATCTTCCTTTAACCTATCATGGAAGAATTTTACTTCTCATCTTCCTCTCTCTCTCTCGTATTCTTTTATCTTCTATCTATATTCTTTGATATCTCTTAAAGGAAATCGCATTGACCTTGTGGTATACAACTCTTTTAAACTAAACTAAAGAACTTACTTAAACTGCAGTCGAATTATTGGATTCAGCGAAGCTCAACCCCTTGGAAAAGTAGTAGTATTGGCCAGTGTTATTTGTGTAAATAAATATTAAGCAAACAAATGATGTTAACTTTTAACTAAAAAGCATTTGATACAAATTAATTTTTAAATTCAAAACAATTTTATTATAGTGAAACATTAATAATCTTTAAAATATTTATATGAAATTTCCTATTAGACCTTAAAAGTTTCGTTTTATTTTTATATTCTCTCGCTCGCTAAGAAGCGGATGAAGTATTTCATATTTATTTATTTACTACTTACATACATATGTGGGTCACATTAAGCTGAGAATGTTTTTGACCTTACACAATATTTCTTTGTCAAATTTTTACGAAAAAGACCTTGTGTGTTTATCTTACACATACAAAGAACTAAAGAACAGAAATAATTGTTTCTTCTTAATATTTTTTCAACAAATTATGTTTTGTAAGCTTTGATTTTGATAAGTTTTTATTGTTAATTCATTTAAAAACCTCTATTAAGTTCTAATAAAAACTAATGTTGTAAGTTAGTCTATTTAGTTTTTCTATTAATAGCAATAGCCTTAGAAGTTTGAGAAATTATTATGAGTTTAATTTCAATAAAGATTTACAAATATACCTTTGTTTGCTTAAACTTACAAGCTCTGAGTTTTAAGCGAAAAAAAGAACCTTAAAAGGATGGAAAGTACCACAAAGATGTACTGAAAATAGCATCAAAAGTAAAAAGTTTAATGGATACGATAGTAGAGTTTGGAATTCATTACTTTCTTGTGAACTAAATCGTCTTATAGTCTTTATGTTTAGCAGCAGAATTATCTATTCAAGCCTATGAGTTCACTTCACTTCATAAGAGATCTATATAAGGTCAATATGATTCTAGAGCTATTTATTCCAAAGATAGGCAGGTTATTGCCGACAATGTAGTGTTATTGGTCAAAAGAAATTTTGTATACACGATAAGTAAAATTATACTGGGGTAGTTCTCGCGAAGCCTTAGTTGTATCTTTTTACCAGAATGTGTGAGTTGTCCAGATCAGATTGCAACAAGATAACTTTGGAACGAAGAATTTATGATAGTAAACATTCTTGAATGATAAATACTCAGGAAAAAAATTAAAAAGGCACTCAATGACTACTATATCTGCATTACCTCCATCGTTAAGAATTGGAGATTACAACCAGGTATGATGAATTGGATTTATTTTTGTAATATTGTTCTGACACAACTAAGATCGATATGGAGCAACAGGCTTAATTTCGTGCATAGACCGTGCCTTCCCCAAAGGAATGTACAGATGATTTTTTTGAAACACCCCTAGTAGAGTTTCCGAGTAGGGACGATTGGATTGAATCCGACAAGTTCTTTGCCATTAGTGCCGGTGTTTATATTGCTGACACTCCCAGACGAATGCGGAGAACTTAGTAATCTGAAAAGTGACGGAGTTGATACTGAATCACACTAGTTGGGGGGTTCTGATGTGACAATCTATATCGATAGCCATGCTGCACTCAGAGCATTGTCACATGGTGCATTCTTGCCTAGTCGTAGTGTGAAGAAACCCAGCAGATCAACAAAGAGTCAATGCAACCGAAAATCATAGTCATTTGCGCTAACCACTAACCACCTAGTTGGCTGCAATTAGTCCTTCGTAACGAATGTACTCTTTATAAACGGGAGTGCAGACATTCGTCACTTTAGTGTCGCATTTGTAAGCGAGAACGTTTACTACCATCAAGTAATCTACAGAATAGACACTTAAAAAATTCTTAACGGAAAAGGTTCATTGCTTTGTATTGATTAGCTTTTGTAAGAGAGGGAAGAGACTGCTCCCAAAGTAATCTAGAAATTAGACACTTTAAAAAAACTTAAACAAAAAGGTTCATTGCCCTGTATTGAATTCTTTGGACTAGATTTCTGACTCTCTTTTTGTAATCAATGATGTGACGGTTGACTTCCTCCTAGTACAAGCACATATCATCTGGGTAGTAGGTTGGGTAGAGGTGTTATGTTAAATAGTTAGTTCTGGACTAATTGCTGGTGAACTCACGAAACTCATAAAATTATGTATAATTGATTTCTCGACTCTATAAATCAGTCTTGAAGCAGTGTAACAGACAGCAAGGTGTCTTCAGACTATTTTTTGGAGTATTTGATTTGTTGGCTGAGTTCATAGCAAAACGCCAGGTTGGTTTAAAGAAAATCCTCCAAGTAGGAAGCTGGAAACCTTTAAACACTTAAGTAAAATCTGAGTTTTTAATGGTACTCCACCAGTAATATTGACGAGTTTTAATGGTCTCCACCAAGCTACAAACAGTTGAGGTTTAATTGTCTCCACCAGAGTATAAACAGTTGAGTTTTAATGGTCTAAAACATACGCAAAACTGTCGAAAGCAACAAGCCTGAACGAGTCTATAGAGTTGTTCCCCAACTCACACCTGATTAAGGTGTCAAGCCTTATAGACAAAACTTGCTGTAAAGGCAATTCAATAAGAGCTTTTACAAGTTAATGGGACGATACCAAACGGAACTGTTGTAGGCTATGGCAGAATGTTGGTTTTTTAGGTAGACTATAGATTTTCGTCTTTCTTTTTTCATTTGCTTTTCTTCGAGATCTGAATTTGGTGATATCCAGAAACTGCGCTGAGATCACAGTACTGTTCCTTATCTCGCTTTCTCTCTTTAGTTACAAAGTTCTCCCACAGATTATGTCTTTATATCGGTGTATTAGATTTTAATCCCTATACTTTGTTATATTTCTCTTAAAGGTCACGTTAAATCTTAAAAAGTTATATCTAATTGTATATCTAAAACCTATATTTTACATTAGCCACAATATTCTACAAGTTATTAAGCAATAAAATTTAATATTTTATCAAAAAAATTCTTACAGATCGCTCAACAACACGTCCAAAAACCTTTGATCCTGTATGGAATGAACAATTTGTACACGATGTTATAAATGCAAAAAACATCAATTTAACGGTATTTCATGATGCAGCCCTCCCACCGGATGATTTTGTGGCCAATTGTATAATACCATTGGAAGATATTATGCAACATGAAACTAATGTACCAGATTTATGGGTGAATTTAGAACCTCAAGGAAAAATCCACGTAGTAATTGAATTGAAAAATAAAAATGGTTAGTAAATGTTAAAAAAAAAAAACTTTAAATGCCTTCCATATAAACATAAATATTTTCATATATTATCTAGATACTACCAAAGATACTACAGAAGTGGATCATCCTGTTAGTGGTGGCGCTGGCGCCAATAAAGAATTTAAAGAAAGAGCAGGTTTTAATCGTCGACGCGGTGCTATGCGTCGTCGTGTACATCAGGTGAGAAATTTTTAAAAGATTAACATATTTTTTGTCCTGTTTTACTAATTATTTTTTTCCTTTGTTTGCATTTCAGGTTAATGGTCACAAATTTATGGCAACTTTTTTGCGTCAACCAACATTTTGTTCACATTGTCGCGAATTCATTTGGTAAGCTAATCAGCAACAAATTATTTCTTTAAATTTTCAAATCATTCATATTGTTTATTTCACTTATTATTTAATTAAACACTTTTTTATAAAAATTAAAATAGTAATTAACAATTAATTTGGTTACAATTTGTTTACTGGGGTTTCGTTTTATTTTTTTATGTAAACATTTGGGTTTTTCTTTATTTTAGTTTAGGATTCGTTTAGTTTTGAGTACAACTCTTATTATTATTATTGCTTTTAATTGTGTTTTTGTATGCTATTTTAAATATAGTTTATTTAGTTTTATTTCAAATCATTTAAAAAAGAAATGTTAGGTTTACTTTTTTTTAATTTTTGTTCATATTATTTTATTATTATTTTCATTTGTGGTGCTCGAAAAATACATTTAGTTTTGTTTTCTTTTGTTATTTTATTATATTTTTACATAACATTTTTTTTTAATTATAATAAACCTTTTACATAACATAACTCTATATAAAAATATCTTGAGTATATACATATATACAAGCTACGGACATTTTTTGCATTTACAGGGGAATTGGTAAACAAGGATATCAGTGCCAAGGTATGTGTATTGTTTTATAAAAAAATATAAAAGACAATTCATCTTAAAGAATATTCAAAGAAAGTAAACTATGAATGTTGTTAATTTTTTGTAATGTTTTTATTTTTTATTTTCTTTTCAATTATCATTATACATTTGCTTTATTTTTCTATTCAAAGAGTTAAGAATTTTCTACTAATTTTTTGTTGCTATTTTTTTATAATATCCATAATAAATTTTGAACACATAGAAAGCAGATAATGATTTTTTTTTTGTTATGTTATTTTAAAGCTAGAATTTTGTCTACATTTATGTTATTGACCCAAACAAATTGAAAAATGCGAAGTAAACAAAATAGTTTATTTACTTTTGAAGAAAAGAAACATCATAATCTTCTGTCTAGATAATAAAAACTGTTTGTAGACAGTACCAAAGTGAAGATAGTTTATTAAAAATAGTCAAGTATAGTTCTTAATTTCTTAAGATGAATGTACAATTTAGTAAAATTAAAAATAAATATTACTCACAGTCTACAAATGGATTTTAGTATTTCCGCCAGTAGGAAACAAATCGGTTTAATTTGACTAGTCAATAGGCTAGACTAGACTATAGACTAGACTATAGACTAGACTATAGACTAGACTATAGACTAGACTATAGACTAGACTATAGACTAGACTATAGACTAGACTATAGACTAGACTATAGACTAGACTATAGACTAGACTATAGACTAGACTATAGACTAGACTATAGACTAGACTATAGACTAGACTATAGACTAGACTATAGACTAGACTATAGACTAGACTATAGACTAGACTATAGACTAGACTATAGACTAGACTATAGACTAGACTATAGACTAGACTATAGACTAGACTAGACTAGACTATAGACTAGACTATAGACTAGACTATAGACTAGACTATAGACTAGACTATAGACTAGACTATAGACTAGGACTATAGACTAGACTATAGACTAGACTATAGACTAGACTATAGACTAGACTATAGACTAGACTATAGACTAGACTATAGACTAGACTATAGACTAGACTATAGACTAGACTATAGACTAGACTATAGACTAGACTATAGACTAGACTATAGACTAGACTATAGACTAGACTATAGACTAGACTATAGACTAGACTATAGACTAGACTATAGACTAGACTATAGACTAGACTATAGACTAGACTATAGACTAGACTATAGACTAGACTATAGACTAGACTATAGACTAGACTATAGACTAGACTATAGACTAGACTATAGACTAGACTATAGACTAGACTATAGACTAGACTATAGACTAGACTATAGACTAGACTATAGACTAGACTATAGACTAGACTATAGACTAGACTATAGACTAGACTATAGACTAGACTATAGACTAGACTATAGACTAGACTATAGACTAGACTGTAGACTAGACTATAGACTAGACTATAGACTAGACTATAGACTAGACTATAGACTAGACTATAGACTAGACTATAGACTAGATTATAGACTAGACTATAGACTAGACTATAGACTAGATTATAGACTAGACTATAGACTAGACTATAGACTAGACTATAGACTAGACTATAGACTAGACTATAGACTAGACTATAGACTAGACTATAGACTAGTCTATACACTAGGGTATAGACTAGTCTATACACTAGGGTATAGACTAGACTATAAACTAGGCTATAAACTAGACTATAGACTAAACTGTAGACTAGACCATAGACTAGACTACGTAGGCAACAGACTAGGCTAGAGACTCGACTATAAACTAGAGTATAGATTAGACTAGACTATAGATTAGACTATAGACTAGACTATAGACTAGACTAGACTATAGACTAGACTAGACTATAGACTAGACTATAGACTAGACTATAGACTAGACTATAGACTAGACTATAGACTAGACTATAGACTAGACTATAGACTAGACTATAGACTAGACTATAGACTAGACTACAGACTAGACTATAGACTAGACTATAGACTAGACTAGACTAGACTAGACTATAGACTAGACTATAGACTAGACTATAGACTGGACTATAGACTGGACTATAGACTAGACTATAGACTAGACTATAGACTAGACTATAGACTAGACTATAGACTAGACTATAGACTAGACTATAGACTAGACTATTGACTAGACTATAGACTAGACTATAGACTAGACTATAGGCTAGACTATAGACTAGACTATAGACTAGACTATAGGCTAGACTATAGACTAGACTATAGACTAGACTATAGACTGGACTATAGACTAGACTATAGACTGGACTATAGACTAGACTATAGACTGGACTATAGACTAGACTATAGAATTGTCTATAGACTAGATTATAGACTAGACTATAGATAGACTATAGACTAGACTATAAACTAGACTATAAACTAGACTATAGACTAGTCTATACACTAGGGTATAGACTAGACTATAAACTAGGCTATAAACTAGACTATAGACTATAGACTAGGCTATAGAATATCCTATATTGACTAGAATATTGACTAGACTGTAGACTAAACTATAGACTAGACCATAAACTAGACCATATACTAGACTACGTTGGCAACAGACTAGGCTACAGACTCGACTGTAAACTAGACTAGAGATTAGACTAGACTATAGATTAGACTAGACTATAGACTATAGATTAGACTAGACTATAGATTAGACTAGACTATAGATTAGACTAGACTATAGACTAGACTATAGATTAGACTAGACTATAGACTAGACTATAGATTAGACTAGACTATAGACTAGACTATAGATTAGACTATAGACTAGACTATAGACTAGACTATAGACTAGACTATAGAGTAGACTATAGACTAGACTATAGACTAGACTATAGACTAGACTAAAGACTAGACTATAGACTAGACTATTGAATAGACTATAGGCTAGACTATAGACTAGACTAGACTAGACTATAGACTAGACTATAGACTAGACTATAGACTAGACTATAGACTAGACTATAGACTAGACTATAGACTAGACTATAGACTAGACTATATACTAGACTATAGACTAGACTATAGACTAGACTATAGACTAGACTATAGACTAGACTATAGACTAGACTATAGACTAGACTATAGACTAGACTATAGACTAGACTATAGACTAGACTATAGACTAGACTATAGACTAGACTATAGACTAGACTATAGACTAGACTATAGACTAGACTATAGACTAGACTATAGACTAGACTATAAACTAGACTATAGACTAGACTATAGACTAGACTATAGACTAGACTATAAACTAGACTATAGACTAGACTACAGACTAGACTATAGACTAGACTATAAACTAGACTATAGACTAGACTATAGACTAGACTATAGACTAGACTAAAGACTAGACTATAGACTAGACTATTGAATAGACTATAGACTAGACTATAGACTAGACTATAGACTAGACTATAGACTAGACTATAGACTAGACTATAGACTGGACTATAGACTAGACTATAGACTAGACTATAGACTAGACTATAGACTAGACTGTAGACTAGACTATAGACTAGACTATAGACTAGACTATAGACTAGACTATAGACTAGACTATAGACTAGACTATAAACTAGACTATAGACTAGACTAGACTAGACTATAGACTAGACTATAAACTAGACTATAGACTAGACTATAGACTAGACTATAGACTAGACTATAAACTAGACTATAGACTAGACTATAGACTAGACTATAGACTAGACTATAGACTAGACTATAGACTAGACAATAGACTAGACTATAGACTAGACTATAGACTAGACTATAGACTAGACTATAAACTAGACTATAAACTAGACTATAGACTAGACTATAGACTAGAATATGGACTAGACTATAGACTAGACTATGAACAAGACTATATACATACTAGATTATGGGCTAGACTATAGTCCAGACTATAGACTATTCTATATAATAGTCTATAGTGAAGACCAAAGAATAGCGTATAATCTCGACTATAGAGTAGTCGACTTAAGTCTCTACTGAAGAACAGTTAAAAGTCTAGACTAAGGAATAGCATGTATTCTCGGCTATGAAATAGTCTCACCTATAGATTAGTAAATATTACTATTATTAATTGCTAAGAATATTAATTTCTCCTTACAAATTTTGAAAAATTATTTTTACCTCTTATCTTATGGCAATGACGTACTACATGTTATCTGAAAATTTTAATGTTAAATCTGAAAATTTTTAACTCTTTAAAAAGAAATACAAATAAAATCAAATGATTCATAATTATTTTCTATATAATGATAAGTTTCGTTTAAAATGTTTTCATAAATAACCATTACTTTTCTATACTTATGTATTTCAATTTGTCTACTTCATAAATGCATTTTATTTCAAATTTAGCAAATTAAATAATAAAAGCCTACAAAAACACTGCATTTCTATGTCTGTCTGTAATTCTTTTTGTCGCTTAGTCTGTCTGTATTTATAACGTATCTAAATAATATTATACAATGACAAAAACAATTTTTTTGTTAGTTAGTTAAATGTCTCAAATAATTTACGCGATTTTGTTTTTGTTTAATGTAACACACAGCATCTATTTTTTATTTGTGTTCTTTTCTTATCTCGGTAGTCACACAAATGTAAATAAATCTATTTTAATTTATTTTTTGTTGTTCATATTGTTTATTCATCTTTAAGATAACATTAGCAATATTTTGTTTATTTATATATTTATGTATGTACGTGTGTGCGTGTGTCTTTTGCTGTATTATGCTAATATTTATTATTATAATAATTACTATAATTTTTTGTTTGCTGTTTTAACAAATTAACATTTAATAAGAAAATTATTACTATAAATTGTTATTTTTTAAAAACTAAATGTAAGTCGAAAACTTTAATAATTTGTATATTAAAAGGAGCCACACAATTTGTAATAAGAACCAAAGAATAATGTGGCAAATATAAGTACTACTTGACAGTATTAGCATTTTAAAGCGAACTAAAGAGTAGGCTATAGTCTAGACAAAAGTCTAAGATAGAATTGAGTATACTATAGATTGGAGTATAGATTATAGACTAGACAATAGACTAACCAATAGACTAGACAATAGACTACGCTATAGACTAGACTATAGACTAGACTAGACTATAGACTAGACTATAGGCTAGACTATAGGCTAGACTATAGACCAAACTATAGACTAAACTATAGACTAGACTATAGACTAGACTATAGACTAGACTATAGACTAGACTATAGACTAGACTATAGACTAGACTATAGACTAGACTATAGACTAGACTATAGACTAGACTATAGACTAGACTATAGACTAGACTATAGACTAGACTATAGACTAGACTATAGACTAGACTATAGACTAGACTATAGACTAGACTATAGACTAGACTATAGACTAGACTATAGACTAGACTATAGACTAGACTGTAAGCTAGACTATAGACTAGACTATAGACAATCGATTAGACTATAGATTAGACTATAGACTAGACTATAGTCTAGACTATAGACTAAACTATAGACTAGACTATAGACTAGACTATAGACTAGACTATAGACCAGACTATAGACCAGACTATAGACCAGACTATAGACTAGACTATAGACTAGACTATAGACTACACTATAGACTAGACTATAGACTAGACTATAGACTAGACTATAGACTGGACTATAGACTATTGACTATATAGACTATAGTCTAGACTATAGTCTAGACTATAGTCTAGTCTATAGTCTAGTATAGTCTAGTATATAGTCTAGTATATAGACTATAGTCTAGACTATAGTCTAGACTATAGTCTAGTCTATAGTCTAGTCTATAGTCTAGTCTATAGTCTAGTCTATAGTCTAGTCTATAGTCTAGTCTAGTCTATAGTCTAGTCTATAGTCTAGTCTATAGTCTAGTCTATAGTCTAGTTTATAGTCTAGTCTATAGTCTAGTCTATAGTCTAGTCTATAGTGTAGTCTATAGTCTAGTCAATAGTCTAGTCTATAGTCTAGTCTATAGTCTAGCCTATAGTCTAGTCTATAGTCTAGTCTATAGTCTATAGGCTAGTCTATAGTCTAGCTTACAGTCCAGTCTTACAGTCCAGTCTACAGTCTAGGACTAGACTTTAGACTGGACTGTAAGCTAGACTATAGACTAGGCTATATGCTAGACTAGATTGTAGACTAGACTATATTCTATAAAAGTTTATAAATTAGAAAAAGTACCGAAAATCCGGTGGGGGTAACGAAGTATATCTATATCAGAAAGTTCTAAAGTACTAATTTTTCCATGCCTAGTTTATCGAGTTACAAACAAAGTTTGAAAAAAGTTGAAACCAAGGGATCAAAGTATTCTAAAAGATTGATAAATTATAACAGCACGAAGTCATCCTTATACATTAAATAGAAGGATGATATAACAGAGGTTTAACCTTTATTTTAAAGCCAACAGATTGCACTTTCAGACGACAGAAAAGTTTCTATAAATAAACATGTCTTTGTGCTGTTATAACATTCAAATATTTCCAAAAACTTGACAAATAAACTTTCGCCTCTGGTTTAAAAATTGTTTGGCTTTTATTATCTATAGTCTCATTGGAACCAAAATTGAATTCAGATGTAGAACAAAAATACTCGTATAAACCAAATGATAAAATTATACTCTTTTTGGGCTCCAATATCAAACTTGGGATATCCAGACAATTTGAGTGTTTAAAACTCCACCAACAACATTTTAGAGAAAAATCGGAAACCTAATAATAATATTATGTAGTTTTATTTTGATATCTAAGATCTTTCAATTCTGTCAAATACTGATTATGAACATTTTAGTTTTTAATAATATTACTAACATTTTGATTTGTTTAAACTTAAAATGCATATGAGTATTTATTGTTTATGACACGTCTCACCTAATTTCGATAACAATGTATGGAACAATTTTTAAAGCACCAATTTATTTATGAAAACAAAATAAAAAAAACAAATACTTTACCAACCTATAAAACAAATAAATTATTTTTCATAAAACTTCCAGTTTGCACCTGTGTTGTACATAAGAGATGCCATCGTTCAGTGGTTACCAAATGTCCCGGCATGCGAGAAGAGGTAAGGATTTATTTTACTGCAAAATGAGAAATTTTTTCAAAAAAATGTATCTATTAACTTTAACATGATACATTTTTTTAATTTGTTAATTAATTCCTCCTTAAAGCAAAACAATTTGGAACCGGTACCAGCTGGTCAGCGTTTTAATGTTAATGTGCCACATCGTTTTGTCGTGCACAATTATAAACGTTTTACATTTTGTGATCATTGTGGTTCCCTGTTATACGGCCTAATTAAGCAGGGTCTTCAATGTCAAGTGTGTAATATGAATGTACACAAACGTTGCCAAAAGAATGTAGCAAATACCTGTGGCATAAATACTAAACAAATGGCCGAAATACTTAGCTCACTGGGCATATCGCCCGATAAGCAGGCACCTAGACGATCGAAGGTTTGTTAATGATATACCTTCGGTTCTAAAAAAAGAGAAATTTATTTTGCTTCTTACAACTTTTTCAGTATCTAAGTCAACCCGGTGGTGAAGATAATTTCGGAGCTAGTATTCATGGCGATAATAGTGATTGTATCTCAACTACCACACGTAGTTCAACAATGTCGCATCAGACTACATCGTCGGGTAGCTCTGGTGCGACTAATATAAGTGGTGGTAGCGGAGATTTGGGCATGTCGAGTTCTAATCGGTGTTATGATTCGCGTCCCGGTAAAACTTGCTTGCAAGATTTCAATTTCATTAAGGTACTGGGTAAGGGCTCATTCGGCAAGGTTATGTTGGCGGAAAAGAAGGGCACCGATGAAATATACGCCATCAAAGTGTTGAAAAAAGATGCAATCATACAAGATGATGATGTCGATTGTACAATGACCGAAAAACGCATTTTAGCTTTGGCTGCTAATCATCCATTTTTAACGGCTTTACATTCCTGTTTTCAAACTCCGGTACGTCCAATGATAACTAGTACAAAACTTGAATTCTATAATGTCTGTTCTCTTTTCTCAGGATCGTTTATTTTTTGTTATGGAGTATGTTAACGGTGGTGATTTAATGTTTCAAATTCAAAAAGCTCGCCGTTTTGAGGCTGCTCGTGCTGCCTTTTATGCTGCCGAAGTTACATTGGCCTTACAATTTCTACACGCTCATGGCGTTATTTATCGCGATTTGAAATTAGATAATATTTTATTGGATCAAGAGGGTCATTGTAAATTGGCTGATTTTGGCATGTGCAAGGTGAATTATAAACCAACACACCTATTTTCATAATATACAAATAATTTTATAATTTCTTGTAGGAGGGCATTATGAATGGTGTTTTAACTACCACCTTCTGTGGTACACCTGATTATATAGCCCCAGAAATTCTCAAGGAACAAGAGTATGGCGCCTCGGTTGATTGGTGGGCTCTCGGTGTTCTCATGTATGAAATGATGGCTGGTCAGCCACCCTTCGAAGCCGATAACGAAGATGAATTATTTGATTCGATTATGCACGATGATGTTTTATATCCAGTTTGGTTATCAAGAGAAGCTGTGTCCATTTTGAAAGGTAATTTATTTAAAGATTTATTCGTTTATATTCTAATAATCTTTCTGTTTCTATCTATTTAGGTTTTCTTACTAAAAATCCTGAACAACGTTTAGGCTGTTCGGGCGATGAAAATGAAATACGTCGTCATCCATTCTTTAGTAAATTAGATTGGGATGAATTAGAAAAACGTAATATAAAACCACCATTCCGACCGAAAATGGTAAGTTTTTGTTTGTTTCCTCAATTATTGTTATTATTAAAAAAAGCATGAAAAGCAAATCGTATAGGAAAGAATAATAAATTTCAAGAAAGGAGATAAGATTAAATATAAGTAGGTACATGAAAGTAATTCTGAGCGAGACATTATTCTTAATTGATTGCTTGTTTCGGCTAGATCCACTAATTTCAGTAAAACCCTAAATGCCTAGCTTATCTTTACCTCCCCTCTATATCAGTTGGATATTACATAATAGACTTACTTTTTGCCCTCACGAAGAGATAGAATATAGATGTAGTTGTTACTTTAATTGAAAGTTCGACAATTTTGGTCCAAACGTTAATTTGAATTTTAATGTAAATTACGAATTTAAGGTTCTTGCTCTAATAGTATCCCAGATATAGGAATTTTTGTATTTAATTCATATGGAAGTTGCCAAGCCCATACTGAAACTCCGTCCATTATTCCACAAATGTTCACATGAATATCAAAGTTCTTTGTACAAAATTTGATTATTCAAGCTCTATTAGTTTCTCAGATTAACGTATTTCTAAGCCCCCAATGAATGTGAGTCAATTTTTTCCTAAAAATGTTCACATGAATGTTACAGTTTTTCATCTGAAATTTTAGAACTAGTTTCTCAGATAAACTCATTTTTTATGGATGTCAAAGTTGTATCTGTATGTTGCAAGCCGGTGTGTCATCGGCCTACTTGAAATTTTAAAGTGATAGGTACTCTGTAGATCCTTCTATAACACAGGGAGGCAGAAATTTGGAATAATCGACCCAGCCGTTTAAGAGTCTATACTTCTTTACTTACGGACGAGGACGGACGGACGGACGGACGGACGGACGGACGGACGGACGGACGGAGGACGGACGGACGGACGGACTGACGGACGGACGGACGGACGGACGGCGGACGGACGGACGGACGGACGGACGGACGACGGACGACGGGGACGGGGACGGACGGAGGACGGACGGGGACGGACGACGGACGGACGGACGGACGGACGGACGGACGGACGGACGGACGGACGGACGGACGGACGGACGGACGGACGGACGGAACGGACGACGGACGGACGGACGGACGGACGGACGGACGGACGGACGGACGGACGGACGGACGGACGGACGGACTGACGGACGGACGGACGGACGGACGGACGGACGGACGGACGGACGGACGACGGACGGACGGACGGACGGACGGACGGACGGACGGACGACGGACGGACGGAGGACGGACGGACGGACGGACGGACGGACGGACGGACGACGGACGGACGGACGGACGGTACGGACGGACGGACGTACTTACTTACTTTACTTACTTACTTACTTACTTACTTACTTACTTACTTACTTACTTACTTACTTACTTACTACTTACTTACGTACTTACTTACTTACTTACTTACTTACTTACTTACTTACTTACTTACTTACTACTTACTTACTTACTTACTTACTTACTTACTTACTTACTTACTTACTTACTTACTTACTCTTACTACTTACTTACTTACTTACTTACTTACTACTTACTTACTTACTTACTTACTTACTTACTTACTTACTTACTTACTTACTTACTTCTTACTTACTTACTTACTTAATACAAATTTTTAATTCAATTTCATTTTAGAAAATCCACGAGATGCCAATAATTTTGATACAGAATTTACTAAGGAAGAACCAGTTTTAACGCCCATTGGCAATGATGTTGTACGCTGTATTAATCAAGATGAATTGCTGGTTTTTCATTTGTCAATCCTAAATTTGGACCAGAACGTAAAGTATATTAGAAGCACACAAACTAAATACTAACTAAAATCCTCAAACAAAAAAGAAAAACAAAAGAAATCCAAAAACCTATTTGTCGTTCGTATACGATGGCGACGAAAGTAAAGATCTTTTATCCTCCAAACTATACTTTCAAAATGAAATTATATTTCAAAGATTTGGCAAAAAACAAAACAAAGTATAATTAATTTATACTAAAAGTTTTAAAAGTTGTTTTAGATATTTGCTTTTTTTAAACAAAACCGAAAAAGAAATAAACTGTGGTAACTTGTGTCACAGTCGAATTTATTAACACATTTTTTGTTATTTTAATTCTTGTTTATGTTAAAAGAAAATAAAACTAAATTTAACACAATATCTACACACACAAAAACAAACAAGAATGAAAAAAGTAACAAACTTTTTACCAAAAATTATTATTATGTACTATTATTATTATTATTGTTAATAACAAACAAATTCTTCAGAGTCTTTTAACATAATTATAATTATATGATTAGATGATGATGATTATAAAAACTATTTAAATTTATTTATGTTCTAATGTAAACGTTTTTAATTTTATGATTTTTTTAATATTTTAATTATTAAATGGAAATTATTATTATTTTTATGCTATTTATAAGTATAGAAAGTTAGGGATTTATATTAGAGTCTAAACAAAAACAAAACAAATGAAATGAAATTGCCTATAAAATTAAATAACAAAAACAAATGAAAACAAAACAAACAAACAAAAAAATACTTGAAAAATGTTCCAAAGAAAAGTTTAAACAAAAGAAAAGCATAACATACAAACAAAAACAAAGTAAAGAAAACAAAACAAAAATAGAATTTAGAAAACTAACAACAACAAGAACAAAAATGGCGTTAAAATTATAAAAGTTTTTAGAACAACAAAAAGTGCATCATTATTATATTAGATAACGAAAATATAACAAACAAAAACAACAATTAACAATTTAAAGTAGACAAAATTTGCATGAAATTGTTTTTACATTTATTATTTATACTGTTTATTTATGTTTGCAAACAAAATCAACGGGTTTTAATTCTATTTTTCTATTTGACTTTATTTTTTAACTCTCACAAGAATTTTCCTAATGAATCTCTTTTTATTTTCCTTATTTATATGGACAACAAAAAGCTCAAATAACTGTTTATATATTTAAAGCCATTTACGAAATGTTTTTTTGTCATTCTTTTAAACCTCTGAAATCTCTTTCTTTCTTTTTGTGTGAGCAATAGGAGTTTTATTATAGAATCTCTTTACAAATTCTTTGTTTTGTTTAAAACAAATCAAAATCTCATCATTGATAGAAAAACATTTCAATATTTTCTTTTTAAATTTATGCTAAACATTTTCTATTTGTTTATCTTTCAAGTTTACAATTGCATTTTACAATTAAAACAAATTCGAACGAACAAGTTCAAAATGAACAAACAAAATTTTATTAATAAACCGCACACAACAGTTGGAATTTATTTATAGTCAAACGATTTATTTTCGTATACAATAATCAATTCAGTTTTGTAGCACAAAATAGTTTTAAACAATTAAGTACTCTTCCTTTTTAGCTTAAAAAGTATTATTTTTTCTTTATTATCAATAATGTGTAATTAATTTGTTGTATATTAATCCTATATTTAGATGTTAATTAATCGTGTTTTATTGCCATTTATATTTTTAATTTGTTTTAGTTTTTTTTTAGTTTTTTTCTAGTCAAATGCTCCTTTATTTAGATAAATAAATTATATATTTTTAATGTTTGGAAATTTTGCATTTTATAACATTTTTTTGTTGAAATTTTTTAAAACAATTATAGAGATTTTATTTTATATACATATATAAACAAACATACATATTTTATTTTATGTTTTTTTTTTTCTAAGAATATAATTCTTATTATAATAAATTATTATTTAATTTTTCTAGTTTTTAAGTAATTTAAAATATTTATTATTGTTAAAACTTATTAAAAACAAAAACTAATTTTTCACCTGAGCTTCATTGAATTTACTACGGCTAATTAAAAGTACTCAATTGTGAAGTTTTTAATAACATTTTTAGTTAAGTAAATGTGTATGTTATCAAAAATACAAAAAGTTTTCTTCTACTTTTAAACGGTGGCTGACAAAATTTCAAAAAGCCACCTTAATTTATAAATTACAAACAAAATTAGAAAGTGAAGATCCAAAGAAATCATTAGAAAAACAAAAAAACATAGTTAAAGAGGAGAAATGAATGGAAATGATCGATTCCCAAGGAATTTCAACCTAAAAGTAGACTGCGAGGGTTAAGTTCCACAACTTCCACCTGTTCGTCATGGAATTTCTTATTTCCCAGCCGTTTCAACCACAGATTTTGTATTCTCGATGGCCTCTAGTTCCTCTGTATCTTCGCATAACCTGCAATAGTCCGGTATATTACTGTCATACTTACTGCCAAAAGGCCCCAATAAAGCAGTGCCCCATTAGAATTCCTATTAGAATTCTTAGACTGCGTCTATGCAGTCCTATTAATATCTTGGTAGCACCCACATCAAGTGTTGGCCATAAGGCCTTTGAAATTTTGCAATCCATTAATTTGACAGATAGGTGATTTTCCATCCTTTCCCTGCCATCTATATCAAGGTTCGAACCAAATCTAACCAACCTCATTACCTAGAAGACTGCGATTGTTAAGTCCCGACATTTGAGATTCTGTATTCTAGGACTGTGGCAAATTATATGCTCAATCGTCTCCAGTTTCTCTATATCTTCGCATAACCTACAATAGTCCGGTATATTACTCTAAAACATACTGTCAAAAGGCCCTTCTAGAACAGTGCCCGGTTAGAATCCCAAACAGAATCCTTAGACTGCGTCTATCCAGTCCTATTAGTATCTTGTTAGCTCTTACATCAAATGTTAGTTAAAAAAACTTTGGTTCTTTGCGATCCATACCACTATTCAAGGACTGGTTAATAATGTCGAATATCAACCTATAACAGTCGCATATATGCGGTTTCGCCATTCTTTCCCTGTCATCTATATCGTCCGCAAAATCATTTCCATGCACATCTGAAAGTTCTATCCATTAACTTCAATATAAAGGTTTAATCTCGGCTATATCTTGTTCCTTCTATAAGATATCTTAATCTAAAGCTGAAAACAACTACAAATTAAAAAAATCCTTTTTATGTTTTTTTTTTTTTTTTTTCGACAAAAATTTCAACGGACGAGATCTCAGCAAATAGAAGAGTTGCCGTAAATAGGCATGGATTCAGTACTAGTTCATACTTAGACTAGTTCATTGACTAGTTTATAACTAATCCATGGAGAATTAAATAAACTAGTCCGTAGACTTGTTCATAGACTAGTCTATAATATTCAATAGGCTAGTCCATATATTATATAATGTACTTCATAGGCTAGTCCATAGACTATTGAGTCAAATACTTATATAGACAAGTCCTTAAACTAGTCAATAAACAAGTTCATAGACTATTTAATAGACGAGTTTATAGACTATTCTGTATAATACTTAATAGACTAGTCAATAGACTATTCTGTAGAATACTTCAAAGACAACTCCATAGACTAATCCTTATACTATTCACTGGATTATTCCATTAAGAAGTACACAGACTAGTCCATAGACTATTCCATCTAGAGTAGCCGCATTCGTGATCGTAATTTTCCATTTTGTAATTTTGGATTTCGATATCGTAAAAGAAATCTTGAACAATTTTGCTTAATTTCGATATTGATAAGGTTTTCTATGCGATAATATAAAACAACTTTTAATATTAATAATCCAAATACAAACTACCCAGTTTCGAAAAGTTCTACATATTTATTTAACTAAAAATGTTATTTCCACATAAATTGAGTAGCAATTATTTTATTATGCAAAAATCAAATTAGAACATATAAATTATATTTATATAAAAATTTATTTATTTATTTTTTTTTAGTTGAATCTCAACTTTGTTTTATTTTATTGTTAATTTTTTTCTTTTAAATTTTTCTTCAATAAATAAATTCATATAAAAACTATATTTAATGTTATACAATTCAATAAAAGAAAGAAGAATAAGAAATAAATTTCTTTATTTGTTAAATATTTTATTTAAATTATTAAACTCAAACCCACCAAAAGTAACAAAAAAACAAATGAAAAAAGAAAAATACTTAAATAAAAGTTTTTAACAAAAATATAATAAACAAACAACTATAGTTTAACAATAAAAATAAATTATGAAAAATTGCATTAAATACTAACAAGCAAAAATAACAACAACAACATAAACAAACTTCTGAACAAAGTATTAAAACAAAAAAAGATATTAAATATATTTAAAAAAAATAAAACAAAATTTGTATTTAAAAAAACAACAAAATAAAAGCATTTCATACAAAACAAAAGAAAAAATACAAAATATTTAAGTAATAAAAAGGCACAAAAAATCTAAATAAAAATGAAAACAAAATATGGAAAACTTGAAACAAAATTAACAAAATACCTAAGCGCAATAAATTATAAATTATATTAAAACAAGAAAAACAAAAAACTATATTCTAGAAACATGTGAAAAAATAATTAAAAACAAAATAAAAACGCAACAAGTAACAAAACAAAAATAAAAAAATATATAGATTTGATTGTACTTTATATAAAAAAAGCAAACAAACAAAAACATTACAAATATGTAACAAAAAAAAGTAAATAATTTAATATAAACTTAAGTGCATAAAAATATTATAATAAATAATAAAAAAATAATAATAATAGTGTGTAACATTTCGTTTATTCTGTTACAAAAATCGTAAAAAACAACAATTTAACACGTTTATAAAATAATGTTAGTAACAGTAATAAAAAAACAACAAACAAATAAATAAAACAAAAATAATTCAGCAAACCAAAACAAAAACAACTAACAAAGAAATGCATAAATTTAAGTATAAATACTAAACAAAAAAACAAAATAAATAATAATATTATATTATGATGATATAAATATATAATAAATAAATTTAAAAAAAAATCTAGTAAATATTCTATATTAAAAAAACAAAAACAGAAACAAAAAACCGTAGTATTTTAACTATCATTATAAGAATATTTGAAACAAAAAGAAAAACAAACAAGAAAACACAAGATATATTTTGCGTTTGTTAAACGTAAATTAACAACCATAAAGGGGAAATTATTAAAAAAAAATGAAAACCGTAGACACTCTTACACACACACACAAATAGAAAAAATTATGTTTATTCATCACTAACAACTGCATAATAATTTTCAAACGAAATTCTATTAAATATCACCTCTTTATAAATCGATTTTTATTATTACACTTGCTCAAGTAAGAAAATGTAATTCTTCAGTTTCAACATTCGAAAATATGCCATTGTAAAATTTTAGTTTTTTTTTTCAAGAATTAAGCAAATATGGACCTTGACCACATGTTTGGCATATATTATGGACCTAGGTGAACTGTAAGTACAAAATTCAAAATGGGAAAGAGGAAGTTGTGGATGATTAAGCTTTAAGATGAGAGGTTTAAGAAATTAGTAGTTAAGATTGAAACAGACAGAAAGAAGGTAATAAAATTAGAGGAGAGAGTCTTAGACTCGAAGAGCTATCAGTTTGTTACACCAAATCAACTGCAATGCCTGACAAAGGCATTAAGATTAACTAGTCAAATTTCATATAACTCTGAGGTTTCCTCCAGAAATGGGTACTTTTGGACACTTTGTGATACCTGTAAGTAGATTAAAAGAGAAAAATGGAAGTGGTGGTAAGATGCGATAGTAAAGAAGATTTAAGATGAGAGGTTTAAGAAATTAGTAGTTAAAGGATGAAGGCTAGAGATTGAGACAGCAAGAGAGAAAGGCGATTAAATTAGAGGATAGAGTCATACGACCTTATGCATAATAAAAAACTAACTGCTGGGTAACAAGCTGCTAACTTTCCGTTACGGGAATTTACACACAAAAAAGTTAGCAGCTCGTTTTTCATTATGCTTAAGGCCGTTAGACTCAAAGAGTCACTAATCAGTGCTGTTTGAGTTTGTTTCACCAAACCAACTGCAATGCCTGATAAAGGCGTTAAGGTCTAATTTCAGATAACTCTAAGGTGTAATTCGGATGTGCCATAAAGCAAGGCAGAGGCATAAAAGATGTTAAATTTATTTCTCTTCTTGACAGCTTCTGCAGTAGTCATAGTGAGATATTCTGAGTCTTATTGCGTGGTTACCAAATTTACAGTGCCCTGTGTTGGCAGCTATCATTTTGCTGAGTTGTGATCGGCTATGTTTCAGAAGATGGTCCGAGCGCTTCTTATCTATCTTTGACCATATCTTTCTCGTTTAAATCCACGTTGATTCATTCCTCCATCTTGCCTGGGAAAGTTCGTAAAACATATTATCTATAAGGCTTTTGCATACTCCTATTGGAGTGCCTCAGATGTGATCTATTTCCGAGCTCGTCAGCAATTCAGTGGTCTGTGGAGTCAACGTGTCCTCGTACCTATACGAGTACTATGTTTGAACGTATCGTCATCCTGTTTAAGGATGTCCAAAGTATACACCTGTCAGGGACTTGATTACAGCTTGACTGTCGGTAAAAATTATGATATCTCTGTTCGATACTCCATATTACCAGAGCCAGTTTGCCGTTCATTTTATGGCTGATATTTCCGGCATTCTGGACTAGTCGTGATGTAGAGTATACACCTGTCAGGGACTTGATTGCAGCTAAACTGTCGGTAAAGATTAGGATATCTCTGTTCAATATCCTATGATACCAAAGTTGACATACGACCATCCGTTTGTCGCATTCAATCTGAATGCCGTTATGAGTGCCATTTTTCTGATTTTGGCAACTGACAACTCAACTTAGGTGCGACCCAATAATATCGTTTGTTCTGCTTAGGCAAAGTTCCTGGAGGCTCTTCGTGAGTTCCCGGCATATTGGACTAAACAATACAGTGGTATTTTTCAATTACATTTAGAGAATTTCAAGAAGAGCTAGAGACGACCCACTTTCTCCTCCTTGTGACTTGCAAACTACCTGATTGACGCTGTTCCATGTAAAAGCAGTTTGCTCCTGGTCTCAAGCTTCATCTACAAATACACACGTAATGGCTATGATGCCTTCTGTTGATAAGGCAACATCACCTAGAGACGTAGACTGAAGTAAGATCCCCATTAATAAGTCGAGACTTCTTCCTCACACCGCATTAGGGCTGGTATAAAAATAGTAAACCCCTGAAAAATCGTTACAAAGAAAGGCACTTTTTCGATAACACAAGGACAAAACATTTTTTTCGACATATTCACAACCACCACGCCCGCTCCGCACACTATTGATTCATCCTGTATCAAGTTCTTGAGATATCAAGACCTTCCCAACATTTTGTACCCACGGTCACATCCCTGTGGGATACTGTTGGTGATATAATTTGGGCTTTTACTTTAGGTTCAAGTAGTATACCTAAACTTCTGCAACAACAGAGTATTGACTGGTAATATTTTCAGGTTATATTCAGTGAAAAACAGACAAAAAGTTTAAACTAGCCCGCATAGTCTATCAACCTTAAGACAAAGGCACATACTTACTCATAGTGAGCACACTGTGGAAAGCCTAATATGAACAGATTAAACCCCGAATATCCATACTCTCCACATAAAACCTAGAAGTTTGCCTAGCCATTTCTGTCTCAGAATCTGGACCCTGATAAAGTATGCTCTACTGTTTCTAGATCCTTATCGTCTCCACACTATGAAGGTTATTACTGCTACTAGATTCCTCATTCAGTTACGCAACGATCAAATAAAGGTAGAAAGAAGAAGCAATTTTACGATTGAAATGCAGAATGTTTACGATCGAAATGCAGAATATCGAAGTTGCCAAACGGAGAAATTTTCAAATTAAAATGCAGAATAGCGATAAATATTAGATCCAGAAAAAACCCTGTCTGATCGACCCTTCCAGCTCTCCTAGTATTAGAACGAAAATCCCATGAAAAAGGTTTTAAATTTGCAATTGTAATTTGTAATTGTACCATGTTGTTTTTTTTTTTCTCGAAAGTTTTCGAATAAGCAACTTTATCATGCCAATAATTATGTATTTAATTTCAATTTAATTTATTTATGAAAAGTTAACTTCTTTTTGCACTGCAATTAATTAAACTTTTGATCAAATGAAAAAATATATTTTTTAATGTATATATCCAGCAGAAGCGTGCTTTCGCTTTACAGATATGAAACGGAGAGAATTAAATTTCCTAAAATGGCATATTTACGGTACATTCAAACTATTATTTCAAAACTACACTTCAACCCAACATTATACATAAAAAATCCTTACAAAAAAGCAAACCAATTTATTTCAAAATAATATAGAAAACTTAACATCACTTCTTTTACATAATAAACATTTTGCAAGTTAATATTACAAAAAAAAAACAATTAATTGATCTAGATAAATATTGATAAAGTGTAAAAATAATTCGAAAATTTAAAATTACACACACATATACATACCTACACTCAGACACACACTCAAAAAGAACCGTTAGAAAAACATAAATGCTTGCAAAAAAAAAACTAAAAAAATAATGTAGTAAAAAAAGAATTATTAATAATAATTGGTTGTTAAAAATATATAAAAAAATTAATAATAATGACATTACAATTACATATACCAACATTAATACATAGAAACAATTTTCACACACATTTCAATAAAATTGTCATTACAAAAAATAAACTATGAAAATAAATAATAATGAAAAAAAAAAAGAAAAACGTTTAACAAACAACACTTAACAGATTTCTTGAAACTGGAACTTAAAAAAACAAATCTGAAACATTAATGATAATTTATGAAAAACAAGAACAAAATATTTACAAAATTATTTGGACAAAATGTTAAAAAAGTGGCATTATCCATTAAAAGACTTTCTTTATCAGACATTTTTAATAAATCCGAAACTTAAAATTTAGTTAAAAATTGGGACAGTCAGTTTTGAAACTTTTAAGATTTTTACTATTTTTATATGAAGATTTTTGAAGAGTGGCTTAACCAAGAATTTGATTTGGCATTTTTCACCATTTTTATTTTCCTGACCTATTTATGTATCAATAGAAAAGCTATAATTTTAAACAGAAAATCTTTCGAATAAAACGGATCTGGGAAAATCAAACGATAAAATTCCATTATTTCTTATTATTTTCTTTAAAAAACACAGCTCATAAGTTATATATTTAATTGAAGACAGCATCATTTTTGTCGTTTTCAAGTTGTTCCGAGTTTGAAATCGTTTAATAATAATGATACAGTTGTCCGGTAGTATGTAATGTGTACTGGGAGAGTGTAGTATTGCCAACTGTGTTGAAGGCTTTCCATAATATAGAGAATTGACTTCCTACCCCAAAATGAAAAACGTTAAAGATAGTAGTAATTACCCTAATAACATTTCCACTCCTCGGATACACAGAAAAACACTCATTTTTCGCCAAAAACAGTCATTTATAAACGGTCCCTATTCTGTAATTCGATTACGTTTCTGCATTCAATTACGCAAGAATCGAAAAAGGTATACATACCAACAAAAAGCGGAAAAGAAAGAAAAAGGGGCTCCCCATTTTCCATTTCGTTTCAATGTTTTGCGATTGTGTGTATTCTGCGATCGTTGTAGAAAATTTCGATTCTAATTTAAATGCAGATTGAAAACTGCCCCTTTATAGAGCATTTCATTTTCTAAGAATATAGAATTTACTGAAAAAAATCTTTTAAAAATTTATCAAAATTATTAATAGATAATTAACAAATTATAAAAAATTGTCTAAATAAATTTAGATCAAATTTTTTGATTACAAAACGTTACCTATAATGGTCTATTCCAAAAAATCATTAAAAATTTTGTCCAAAATTTTGTAAATATTTTTAAAAGAATTAAATAAACATATGTTTCAAAAACCCTTATATATTTTTTTTCTTTAAAAAACAATTATATAAGTTGAAAATAATATTAATTAAGGGTGTATATTTTGTTTTTATTTTAACAAATATATGTTAATTTTTTACGTTTAATTTTAACAACAAATCTGCAATTTACAAGAAACAGAATTTAACAAAAAAAATTGCTTATAATTTTTTAAGCAAAATATAAAAAAATCTATGAATTCAATTTATTTTTTATTTTAAATGTATTATTTAAACAAACATAATCCTTATTTGGAGTACCTTATTAAATAAAATAAAAGAAACAAAACAAAGAGAAAATAAATATATGTAATTATAAAAATTAATTATTAATAAACAAAAATTGACCTAAAAATAAACTAAATGATTTTATTAAACAATAACATGATGTTTAGGATGTTGTTTAAATTTATTTAATTGATAGAATGGTTTAAAACTAAACTTTTTTTAACGGAAATTTTTTCTCAAAAAACTTATAACTTATAATGACAAAAAATGTACAAACCTTTTTGCACAATACCCTGGTAATTACCCAATTTTGCCATTTTGAACAGTATTTATACTGTGGCCATTGTTTTAAAATTTATAACATTTTCAAAACATTTTAAAATTGTTTAAATTATTTAAAAAATAAACATTTTAAACACGTTCTTTTAATTCAAAAATAACGTAACAACTCGGAACAAAATATCTTTCTTGTAAGCAGTTCTTCTTAGGGCCAATCTTTAGGTGAAACATTAGCGATTAAATTAAAATTAATCCGCGAAAAATGTTTTTGAGTACTCAATTAGTTAATTTTGTTTGCTAGTTTAAGCGCTCAGTGGAGGTGGTTTAAACTTGAGCAAGAAATACAAAAGTGTAAACAGCTGATTGAAAAAATTAATACAATTATTATAAAAATAAACATTAAAATGTTTGATTTATTGATTAGTATAAATTATGGAAACTTCAAAATAAATTTTTTTGTTTGAAATTTAAGTTTTCATATTAAATTTACAATTGTTTTCTTCTTTTTTTTAAAACATGCATTGTTTTGATAACAAACAGTGACGTTTTCTGTTGTTTTGTATGGCAACACTGCGAAATTTAATCTTGTACTCAAAACATCAAAGGGGATTAACATCAGATTAAATTTATTTTTAGATTAGCTAATCTGATAATTAATTGGCATTTGATTACCAACTCAAAAACCCGCCCTTAGTGACGGTTCACACAGAATAACTTTTGTTGAGAAACTTTTTCTTAAAGTTGCCTTAATGTACACACAGAAAACCTTTTGTTTCATGGCAAAAACGTATTAATTGCATTGATTTGTTTTTGTACGAATGAGAAAAATAGCGAAACAAAACAAGTTTCCGAGTACAAGAAAATCCGTAACGCGAGAGAGATGGTTGATATTCTTAACTTTCACAAAAAAATGTTTGCTGTGTAAACGGGCACTTAACTTGTCAAACAGTTTTAAAGAGCACTGCTGAAACAGCTGTTCTATTATTGACATCGCTTTGCCAACCATTTTAATTAAAACGTAAATAAACCATTGAAAAAATATTGAAGCACATGTTGTTTAGAAATTCATTAAGTTTCAACATTTTATAAAATATAAGTTTTTCCTAATTAAAATAGAATTATCCTCTCAAAATGCCCAAAGAACGCACGGAAAAAAAGTCACGCATACACAATGAAGTACAAAAACAAGGTAATTTGTTTAGAAAAGCACAAAAAATAAAATTGTCTAAAAATTAATTGTCTGTCCGCTTGTAGGTATTGTTTTCAACAAGGATTTTGGTCAGCATATCTTGAAAAATCCATTGGTTATTACCAGCATGTTGGAAAAGGCTGCTTTGCGTCCCACGGATGTGGTATTGGAAATTGGTCCTGGTACCGGTAACATGACCGTACGCATGTTAGAAAAATGTAAAAAAGTGGTGGCTTGTGAAATTGATACACGCTTAGCGGCTGAATTACAAAAACGTGTACAAGGTACACCCTTACAACCTAAACTGCAAATGCTTATTGGTGACTTCCTTAAAGCAGAACTACCTTTCTTTGATTTATGTATTGCCAACGTGCCCTATCAAATAAGTTCGCCTTTGATTTTTAAGCTATTGCTGCACCGACCTCTCTTCCGTTGTGCCGTTCTTATGTTTCAGCGTGAATTTGCCCAACGTCTAGTGGCCAAGCCGGGCGATAAACTCTACTGTCGTTTGAGTATAAATACCCAACTTTTAGCTCGTGTTGACATGCTAATGAAAGTGGGTAAAAATAATTTCAAACCACCACCAAAGGTAGAGTCAAGTGTGGTACGTTTGGAGCCCAAAAATCCCCCACCACCTGTTAACTTTACCGAATGGGATGGTTTGACACGTATTGCCTTTTTGCGTAAAAATAAAACCCTAGCGGCTGCCTTCAAAACTAATTCAGTTATGGAAATGTTGGAAAAGAATTATAAATTACATTTATCTTTAAGGAATATGGTACGTTCACAGTTTTGTCTTATTAATCACAGTGTGAAATTAATTTTGTTTATTTTGTTTTCCACACAGCCTTTAGAGGAGAACTTTTCCATGCAGGATAAAGTTATAGGTATTTTAACCACTTTAAATATGGATAATTCTCGTGCGCGTTCTATGGATTTAGATGATTTTATGCGCCTTCTATTGGCCTTCAATTCAGAGGGTATACATTTAATTAAATGTTTGTAAATTACAAACTTTGTAAATATTTTTAAGTCTGAATTTAGTTAGAAGTTATTTGGAATAGAATGACTCGGAATTTACTTGTTTGCGTTTTAATATTTGTTCTAATATTTAAAAGTAGAAAGAAATTATGAATACATACATTGTAGCATATAGTGTATTTAATAAAATCTTTTATATAATAATATCTTTAAAACTTGTTTTAGTTACTTACTACATATTTTTATTTTTTTTACGAATTCTAATACAAAAAAACACAACTTTAATTAAAAACGTATGTTAGTAAATATATATTTGATTTGTTTCAATTGCCAATAAATATGTATATACAAAACTATTGTTAACCTTAATGCTTAGATACATTTTACCCTGAATGGTCTGTTTAACAGGATTGATTTTCTTTAATATTTGTGTCATGGTCTCGACCAAACGATCACTAGATACACCAGTTTTCTTATTTTTGAATTTGGTCAATAATTCAGTTGCCGTCATAGGTTTACGCATAAGATAGCGACGTACCGCCTCCTCAGTAATGCCATAATCACTTAAATGACAGAAATATTAGTACCATTCATAAACAAATAAAGAAAATCACTTACTCTTTGCTATTAGATGAAACAACACCTGCAAACGTTGATGGCAGTGATGGTGTAGACATTTCTGCTTTAGGCCTTTTAGCTGGTGTACTAACCGGACTATTACTATTTTCCGAAGCGGTAAGATCACTAGGCATGCTATTCATTTTACGTTTATTAGCATCATTGTTGAATGTGGGAGTGGCAGAACGAGAATTCTGATTGCTCATGGGTTTAGAATTGTCTTTCTTCTTCATTTTAGTATCGTCTTCGGAGTCACTGCTATCAGAACTAAAGTCACTAGAGGAATCTGTAAA